CATAGATCAAATTGGTCCCATAATCGTACGCTAACGACCGGGTTCTTATTAGGGTCTCGGATACAGTTCGTCTCCTGGCACCACGTGCCACCCTTCTTCTTCAATTGCGCGTACGACACCAGGTTGGTGTGAAACGTCGGCGAATAGAGTGCGTCGCTTAACGTGATCTCCATTCGTCCCCTCTGGGGGTGCTTTCCTATCAAGCGGACCGTGCCTCGACCGAGTACTCGGGTAGATCCATCTCCCGTCTTCAATTCTATCGCGTCGGGCCGAAGGTTAATGAATAGGTCCTTGTTATTGCACACGTGCGCGCTCGATCCCGAATCGAGGATCCATCTATCTCGAAGCGACACCTCGCTAGCGGATAGGGCATGCTTCGTCATCGTAATAAAGCTGGTTAGGACATTGGCCGATTTAACCTTCGGCTCGGGCCGGTCGGCTTTCGGTTTAGCTCCTGCTATCGTCTTGTCCACCCACTTCTTCCATCCTGGATCCTTTGACAGTTGCTCATTTGCGCGGTCCACCTTTCTCTGGTCTATAGGCTTCCCTTCCGGGCGGATTGCTTCATTCACAGTCCAGCACGTACGCACAGAATGCTGTGGGTGCCTATCGCCGCAGGGACACCTCCGTTTCTCGTACGGGGTATCCGGCTTCGCTTCTTGATAACCTTGCCAGGTAGAGAATGCGCTTTTCGGGGCGTTTGTCGACGACACTGTCTTCACACCAATATCGTTGTTCATCGCACGGAAGGACTCGATAAGGACTCGAGTATCGACCGGCTTCCCATCAGCGACAATGTCCTGGTATTGTGCTTGCCACCACATTGGCAGTACGTCCTTTACTGCGTATACAAAGTCTCGATTCGGATTACTATCATCGATTCCAAGACTAATCGTCAATTCTCTCATCGAGTCCCACTTCTGGATCCATTGCTCGATATCTCCCGTTGGTCTTTGGGTAGAGAAATATCTCCATTTCATTCGAATCTCTTCTCGGTACGTGACCGTCTGGGCGAAACGGGATTTCAAATAGACCAGTCTCTCATAAGGCGTCTCCAGCGGTATAATAGCTAGATGGTGTACCGGGTCTAGGTATATCAAGATATACTCGTTGACATCGGCCAGTCCTTTCGCCTCGCTTTGCCATCGGGCATACTTGATTTTAAAAAGGTCCATCCGATCTCTCCAGGTTTTCTTTTCCTCTGCATCCCCCTCCTCGGGATACTCGGGGACTGTCGGTTCGGTAAGGAGGTCGGGCCGAATTGGTGGCTTCTCTATCGCGGTAGATACAGCAGCGATCTCAGCCATCACAGCTTCAGGGTCACACAGCTCCCATACACCTTTCTGCCTCGCGTACGACCTCACTCTCGTGAACCAGGTACGCCATTGCGTTTCATCCTTCAGTTTTTCGCCCTTCGTGGCGGAGAGAATCGATGCTGTCTCCATTGCTAGATACAATTCAGGGGTAGCTGGGAATAGCTCCACAATTGCTCTTTTCGGCAGCTTCAGGGGTTCAATCGTGCTGTGTTTCGACTACAGCAGGTTCATTCAGTGCGATCCGGGCTCATAACTGTCCACACAGGTGGTATTCCGTATTATAAGGGTCCAATCAATGGTATTCAAGTCTCTGTCTTTCTGTATCCACTATTCTGACAATTTATACTATCCTGATTACATAAGAAATATTACTGCATACTGGAGGATTAATAAATCCTCCGGTATTCCGGTATGCTGGTGCTGCATATACCAACACCAGTTTATTGCCTGAGGCCAAAATGTCGGTGCCAGACATGTGACGTGATATCACCAGGCATCCCCCAGTCACTTGTGACGCTTTGTAGATGCTTTGTCACTTGGGTTTTAGCGTCTAACTATAGACCTGATGTTTTCACCCTACCTCCATGACGCCCAAGGGATCTCGCAAGAGAGTGAAGACCAGCCCCTCCGGCGTGGACTCGCCGGCTGGACTGAGCGGTGATGGCCGAGACCGTTCAGACTCCCAGCCACGAGGGTACAATACCGTAAGCTCTTTGTGATCGGAATAGCCAGTTCTTTTTTCTTGTTTACTAATTACCTATCGTTTATATAGAGCTGGTATCCCGGGTCCTGGTCTTCCATTGCGAGAGTATCTAAGGCAGCCCCAGTTACCGAGGTTGCCCGTGAGAGCATTTCAGCCGCCAAAACTGTAGCATCGAGCGTCACGAACTCATCGACCTCTTTTATTGATACCCCAACAAAGAACCGTCATCCTTCCATTCAACTTACGCGAAAAGCGGGCGCCTCGACCAGGTCTCTGCCTGCCAACGCTACCACCACACGGGTCAACATCGCATCGGATGGTTCAGCTTCCACACCGGCTGCCGACGATATCGAAGATCCTAGGACTGTAGAACCGGCAACATCCGATAAAGAAGCACCGATCGAGAGTGATGTCAAGCCGCTAGAAGAACAAACCAAGGAACAGGAGGCTACCCCTAACATCGACCCCAGCATATCGCATGCGGGATCTGCAGAGGTCCCTGAACAATCTAGTGGTTGGCTCTCATGGATCTATGGACCATCGGCTACACCTCAAGGTGATGCGAATATTCCAGAATCCACACAAGCCGAGGAATCTCCGTTGGCGGAAAGCCAAATGGCAGAGCAGGGTGCTCAACCTATTGTGAAAGACTATACAGCACGGGAAGAAGAACTGGAACCAGAATCAGAGCAGGCCAAAGATACCGTTGAAGCCGCCACATCCCAGAAGCGATCGTGGCTCCAGATTTGGTATGGTACAAATACACCGAACAAGCAAGAAGACGCACTATCTACAGAATCCACAACCCTCCTTCCCGCGAATTCTACCGAGGCCCCCAACACAAACATGGCACCACAAGATCCCCCAGATGAGCCAACAGAACCAGCTGGTGGATCACAGACCCCCGTCGGAACCACGAGGTCATCCGGCTGGTCGTTTTGGTCCAAAGATCCAAACAAAGATGGACCCTCCGATAAACCACAGGAAGGCGAAGCTATCGAGGCATCAATGGGACCGAAATCCCTATCAAAAGATACAGCACTTGAATCAGATACAGAAGCAAATATCAAGATAACCCAGAAAGGCAGTATTAAAATCAAGCCCTCAAAAGATAACCGTCTCAAAAGTGGATCTGGGCCCGCCGCCGAAGGAACTTCTACATCTATGCCGCCCGTTGAGCCTCGACCAGCCGATACCGCGGCCTCAAAACATTTACAGCAAATTCTCCCCAACCAAGTACTGCCGAAGTTCGAAGAAACCTACCCATTTGAGCAATCACCCTCCATTTTACAGAGCCTCGGTCGACTCTTGCATTATGGGAAAGGACCAGAGATTAGGCACGTCAGCAGGGTCAGAGATCCGCTGCTTGTGAAACGTGCTTTGGCTATTGGTGTTCATGGATATTTCCCTGCCCCATTCATTCGAAATCTTCTCGGACAACCCACAGGGACATCCATCCGGTTCTCCAATATGGCAGCAGATGCCATCCGGAAGTACACAGAGAGCCATGGCTACTCGTGCGATATTGAGAAGATCGCATTAGAAGGAGAAGGCCGCATTACGGAGCGAGTGGATCTCCTGTGGAAGCTACTTCTGAATTGGATGGAGGAGATCCGGAAGGCTGATTTCGTCATGTTTGCATGTCACAGCCAAGGTGTGCCAGTAACGATCATGCTAGTTGCAAAGTTGATACAGTTTGGCTGTCTAGACGCCAAACGAGTCGGCATCTGCGCTATGGCAGGTGTGAACCTCGGCCCCTTCCCGGATTATCGCTCTCGATGGATCAGTGGCTCGGCTGGAGAGCTATTCGAGTTTGCACTGCCTTTCAGCAAGGTCTCGAAAGAGTACGAAGCTGCTCTTAAATGTGCCCTCAATTTTGGTGTGCGCATCTCTTATATCGGAAGTATCGACGATCAACTCGTTTCACTGGAGGTGAGTACATATATTGATACTCAGACATCTATCAAATAGCTAACTCGCCGCCAGTCCTCCCTCTTCTCGCCCATAGCGCACCCTTACGTCTACCGCGCTGTCTTCGTGGATGGCCGAGTCCACGCTCCAAGCTTGTAAGCAGGCCCCATCTCGATCAACAATGAAATACTAATATGAAAACACAGCCTCTCTCATCTAGTTGGCTTCGCCCTCAAGCTTCGAAACCTTGGTATCTCAGACCACGGTCTAATCCGCGAACTAAGCACCCCATTAGCAGGAAGTCTATACTCAGGAGAGGGACATTCTCGGCTGTACGACGATGAAGCCGTGTACTCGTATGTAACAATCATGGATCCCTACGCACATCCAAAACTGACACCATCTTCCAGCATGGCTATAGAATTCGCACTCGAGACTTCTTCCGTCCCAGACTCCGCGCTCAGCGTCAAGCGAGCCAGCAGCTCCGTCACACCAAACCCGTACATTCTCCCCTTCGCCATGCGCGGTCTTCTGGAAGAGGAATATGTGCGCCAGGAACTACACGACGAGACTATGGAACTGCTCAGACAATTTGACGATTGGAAGCCTTCTAGTAAGGCCCTGAAAGATGTAAAGTTTCGACTAGAAGGTATCCGGTCCAAGCTCTAGCTAGGCTTGTTAGCCAATGATTAGAAGGTATCTTGCTCTGCATGGGGATTTGATATTAGCGGTTTGTTAGATATGGAAATACACGTTCTCTTTCTCAAGACTTACTGCCGGTTAGTAAACACAATTATGACTTTCAAGTATAGCAACAGTGAATACATGTCCTCGGTTTTGTTCGAATAGTAATAGAAGTTATATTTCGTGTGCGTATAAAGCTGTCTACCAAAGTAGGGAATCGTATTTGTATTGCGCCATCTCAAAAAACGCCATATTCCGTTGACCACAGATTGAGAATAGTGGAGAATCCAGTCGTGAAAAGAGAGGGGATCATTATAAAGATGCAGATGGCTTGAAAATGCCGAAAGAAAAGCTCAGAACGACGTAGAAACAACCCCCCCCCCTGTTTAAACAGATGCTAGTGGGAACGCCGTTTTATATGCACCTTCGATTTCATCTAGATCAATGTTAGCATAAGAACCGCACATTAGAAAAAGAGTAAAACACAAACCTCTCATCCCATCCAAAGCTTCAAAAGCAAGCGAATAATTCGACACGGCCGCAATGATCCGTTCTAGACCCTGTCGTAGTTCTTCAATGAGCTGGCCGGTCGAATCTCCGCCATGCTCATTGTCAGGGGTGTCAGGTGCAAGTTGTTTCGCCACGCATGCCTTGTAGTAGATCATGAACATAGCATAGCTACTTTGCATCAGACAGCATGCGAAAGATGGCATGGTTCGGGGTAATGGTCGACGTTGCTGCTGCTGGAGATCTAAAAGAGGCTGTGGGACGGGTAGGCTGTGGAACATGCGGGAGATGACGAGTGCGGCTTGAAGACAGATTTTCGCAGACTGCTGCGTGCTGTAGGGGAACCCAGATGCGAATGGATATGCGTACTGAGATGCGTAGGGTTGGATGTCGGTGTGGATGTCTGATGAGGTGGAGGAATCGGATGGGGTCATGTATTCTGTTGAGGATGCTCGTTCGAAGGAGTTTAGGTTCGAGCAGGAGCAGGAGACGTTGTGGATGCCGGATTTGGTGCTGACGGGTGTGGTGGCGGTGTTTGGATTTGCTGCTGTCAGGTCGCAATGTCTCTTTATGAAGATGGGGATGTCGGAGAAGGCTCGGAAGCGGTGCGTTTTTATTTGTGCGCTGGGATTATGGTTAGTTGAGTTTAGGTAGAGAAGGCGAATGATTCGAACCTGGATAGTTTGATTCGGGATATTGCGCGTATGCTTTGGGCTGTGATGGATTCGTTGTGATCGCCGAAATCCGATGTCTGGGGTAGGGGAAGTAGCTCCGCCTGTGCTATCACTGAGTGGGTCCAGGCATCGAGCTGCTGCATTCGTTCGAACATATAGTACATCCCTGTTTGGGATGAAAGGCATTTGTTCAGATCATCAATAAACTGGGTTGCTGATACAAGCACCTGTTGAGCTTGTATCAAGATAGCCCAACCCTGGAGAATGGTTAGTGGATGGAAGATGAATGAAGAGGTCGAATACAAACCTCTGTATCTGATGAAAACGTCGGATATGGAGTCGTGAACTGCGGGTCGTTAATGACGATAGCAGGCATCTATTTCTTTATTAGCTCCAGTCATGTTCGAAGAGCTATATTACTCACTGTTGTGCTAACAATAGATCCTTGAATCACACAATAATACTACAAGATAATTAGATCAAGGGCTAATGAATGAGGAGGAATACATACCGTCATCCACCAGGCTCTCCGTCGAGCTTCCGAAAATTCATCATTCCCCATTTGAGCATGAAGTGACTTGTCCAAAGCAATTGCAAGAGCCTGACCAGCACGATATCGCATCTTGAGCAAGTTACCGCGTTGAGAGTATTCATAAACCGAAAGAACCAAGAGCGCTAGGAGGCTTTCATAGTCCACGGGAGCTTGCGAGTGGAATTTTTCCCGTCCAACAAAAGGTCGTGCGGCAGACAATGCTTGGCCAGGATCAGTTGAGGACAAATCGAGATCACACTCCGCTTCGATCGTTGAATGGGCGAGTTGGGCGAAAGTATGCGCGTATGTTCTACGCTGGTGTACAGACGCTGCGGACGACGGCTCAAGATCACTTGGGTGCGGAATCAAGGCCAAGATTGCAGATAGTGCAAGACTCAGAGGTGAACGGGGCCGGTACATCATCATCGGCTCAGAGGTAGTGGAACCTGGAACAGGGCAGTTCAATGGTCGATCTCGGCACGGTGGTGATGCCCGTGGCGGAAGAATGGGGAAATAGTTATGAATGAAGTCATAATAGGCATTCAATCTGGGGATATTAGACAATGTATGGAACTTATGAAAGAGAAACACGTACATTTCGGGCTCGCTTCCATAGGTTCTTACGAAAGGTTGAGCGCTGTTCAAGGGTGGCGATATCAAGGGCACTTGCATGTGCGACTGACTGCCATCGCCAGTGAAGAAGTTTTGAAACATGGAGGGAGCATCGGATTGGAAATCTAGATGCCTCAAACCTGCGCCAGGCAGAGAGAGTTCATCGATTTGGTTGAACATCCCCGGTGCTAAACTTCGGTAAGCATGTCGCCTTTTTGTTTCGGAACATGAGGGCGGCGACATACCTTCTTCAAACTCCGGGGGTGAGGGGATAGTGTTATACAAAGCATCATCTCGCTTCGATTCATGTTCTGGTGACAGCGAGGACTTTTCCTTCTTTTTGCGTGGCCCGCCTCGTTTGCTGGGTAAATAAGAGCATACTTTGTCTTTGCTAACGCACTATAATGAATGTCAGTATATTATGATATGCAATGAACCATTGATCAACCCAGATCCACAATTTAAAAAAAGCCCCTAAAAGCATTCAACACGCAAAGCACAAAGAAAACGTACATTCGCGCATGGCATCTGGCCGCCACACCGTGTTCTCGAAGCCCGACTGGAGTAATCGATTAGTGGAGAAGTTCCTCTTTTTTTTTCCCCGCGGGATTTGCTCACCAGGGAAGACAGGCTACCTTAACTGGTGGTTTAGCAAACTTCTTGCGAACCGACCGAGGCGCTGTCGAGGCAAGCCCGTTATAATCCAAAGCATCGGCCATGGCGACACTAAACATGGGAGCCTCAGATAATCTACAGTACCATTAATTTGAGACTGCACCTCTCGGGTGTCTTTGCAACCGAATACTAGTTGAAATGGGGCATTCTGCGGCTCGAGTAATAAAATCGCAAGTTCGAAAGGGCGCTGATATAGAGACTTCGGTGTGATTGCTTGATCTCCGCAAATCCCGAGCCGTGGGGAGGTTCGGGATTTGCTTTTAGTTAACTAAGCAAAGAGAGATCAAGCCTAACCCCGAATTGGAGAAATAGTATCAAGATGCATATAAGCAGGGTGATATCGATATGTTTTTTTTTTCATTTCATATCATATCTTTTTTTCCCCGGCACATGGAACCCTGGGAAGGAGAAAGAATTTGATATCGGAGTAAGGGTTTTGGATATGGAAACTTACCGGTACAGATACTCGGATTACTAATTGACTCTTGAGCAAAGAGAGACATGTAATTTACTGCCTGAAACATTCAATCACGTGGATCCACAATTGGAGTGTGATATAGTCGAGTCCTGGAGATTCATGATCTATCAACCCTCGGACATTACATAGTGATATCAAATACATAAGTACCTATATCCGATTTTCCCTGGCAAGTGTGGCTTTTTTTTTTATGATTTGAGCCGCTTTTATGAAGGTGCTCAGGCTCACTGAGTAGATGTCAGCATGGGATATCAGTGATCATGCTCGGTTTAGTCACGTGAAAGATGACTGATACTTAGTGCTCAGTGAGTGCTCAGTATTAGATGCTCTCTGGTTATTTAGTGATGCTTAGTGTCTAAGCAGTGAACACTAATGCACTCAGCCTGCCGTAGACTATATCTAGAAGGGATGGGCCTCCTATAGCATTGCTTATACTATGATAGTTAGTTCGTTGATAGCCTTGCTACTGCCTTCAATGTTTCGGGCGCTACATCTTATCAAGAAAGTAGATGTATGGACACATTGTCCCGTATTGGTACGCTGTTAGGTATTGTTATTATCGAACACTAGCAAGTAAAAGTTGGTGCACACTTACTCTGAACAAGCTTCGTGATTAGGACTATGGGGATTATCTTCCTGACGAGGCGATCGGCGGCTCACAAGCAATACTTCCTGGGCTGAACTCACTTGACTTCTCCCTGAAATACCCTCCATTCCGTAGGATATATCTACATATGTAGAGCTAACATTACCCTATACCCAACTTCAAATTCTTCCAAGACGGATTCACAAAGTGGAGCTTCGTGATCTATCGCTGCACATATCAAAAGCAAAACGACTGGGAAAAACTCATGCCTCACTCCCTCGAGCCTGTCACAGAGCGCCTTGAGTCCAACAGCGGTCTAGACATCCTAGAAGGGTTTACCCCCACGGCCTTTGAAGACCCCTCGTTTGATGGCATGACCACCGCTGTTCTCCGCGCCCATTTTAAGAAGTGGGTTACGACTGCACCGCTGCAGGAACAGCGTGTCGATACATGCGGACAGTCGGGCCGAGACCTATTCTTCGTTATGGTTGATCAGGAGGTGCTGGAATCTGTCTTAAATTCGGACCTGATGCTATTGGGAAAACTGGGTTTGTTCGTCTAGTTTATGGAGAATGGGAGCCGGAGCCGGAGGTAGATAAAGATGGCAATGAGTCAGTAGACTTGGAGGAAGAGCTTGAGCCCTTGGAGGGATGTATGTAGGAAGATGTTGGTTGGATGAAAGTGCCTTACGATGAGGTGCAGGGGATTGGAGCCACGGCAATGTGTAATTTGGACGATTGAGATATGCATTATGCTCGCCTCCCGGAGATTCAGAGCTTGGCTTGATCTACACGTGTCGGGAGGAAGATATGGGAAAAAACGACATTGAAAGTTGCATTCACAGATCTACATAATTTCCTTCCCCAACAGAGAGAATACATTTATAAACGGGATACTTACATACGGTATCCGTAAGCTCTAGCGACTTATATAGGATACACAATTAAGATGATTTGGAATACTTTTTTTTATATACATATCAATCCACCATCGGAATGTGCATTTAAATAGATTTAAGCATGACCCTTGCCTTTCCCAAGGGGTAGCTTAATGCCGACATACCGTACACTATCCCATACACTGTCTCGAACCCTCACAGGGTTCTTGTGTCCCTTTAAGTTCTGGTCGATCAACCACATTCCAACCACGAATTCCTCACGCACCAGGAGCCCGATATTTTGATGATCGACCAGGTCCCACACTTGCTCTAGAATCGGCTCTGGCAGGCGGCTGCGGGACCAGATCTCCCGAACCACTAAATTGAGAACCATATCCGAAGCGTCAGGTGGCCATGACCCGTTTTTATTAGGACCGGGGCCCTCGGTGTTGATGAGAAGCCCTTTATTAGAGGCCCAAACACCTTCGTAACGCTTGCGTTCCCTCTCGTTGACCTCACGTTGCCAGCGCTTACGATCCCCCTCCCTGTGCTTGTGGGGGTGTTTGTGCAGGGGATTTCTGTGTTTTCGGCGGTCGGCCTCGGTATCTTTCGGTAGGCCACGAAGTGTCATCGGTATACTCTTCGGGGGACTTGGTGACCTTGACATATCAGGCTTGGGTTGGTGTACGTGTGGTAGATGTAGAATGGATCGTGCCCGTCGTCGTTGGGGAACCGGCGGGGGAATCCCCCTGATAGCCGGGGATGCTCGTGCTGATGCCACGGATGAGGCGATGATAGCATTGGAGAGGGCTTCCTCACTCATGCCAATGGTGTCATCTATTATGTTGGTGCTTGCAGGCGACTGGCTTGCTATAGATATCTCGCTCGGGGTCGAAGGACTGAGTTTAGAGGCAACTCCATGGTTTCTGAGAGACCCTCGTGGCGGAGGCACACGCGGCGGAAGCTTCGGTTTCGACTCATCTGACAGCAGAGACGAACTTCGCGATTCTAGGGAGGGACGAGGGCTCGAGTCTCGACTATCCTGATAGTCTAGAGTTGTGCTGGATTGTTGCGATGAAGAGCGCCCGTAGAAAGCCAGATCCGGGTCAGACCTTACGCCACTTCCATGTAGTGGACGGCCTAGAGGACTTTGTGCCTCTTGGATCGAGCGAATAGGGATTGGTGGTGGCAGTCGTTTCTCCTGTGAAGGTGGCACCCGGCTCGCATTTCGTATTGCACCTGCAGAACTGGGAGTTGTCGACGGAGTAGTGTCCCGCCCGGGAGACCTTGAGGCAGCGAGCCGTGCGGCAATTTGAGATGTCGAGGCGAGAGGTGCGGCTGATGGTCGTCCCCTCGCACTTAATGTACTGGGCGTAGGTGAAAGTGGCCTCGACAATCTCCCGACCTTATCCTTTACGGAGCCGGCTTCTGGTGTATGGGATTCAGTCCTCTGACCTAGAGTATCTGCCATTGTAGTGGCAGAAGATCTAACTGAAGGTGAGGGATCCCTAGAGTGGAATGCAAGGGTGGCGCCTTGCAGAGCGTCATTCCGGGCACTCAACCGCTGGTTCGCGGAAGCGCCATACATGGAATCGATTCCCCACAGTTGGGAGTTATGAAGTCGACTTATGCAAGTATAAGATAATTGATTGATTTCAACGTTCAATGAGCTGAGATGTTTAGGGGAAAAAATATAAAGAGGCCGTGCACGCGACTGTACACGTCTCTTCTACACGATTATAGGTACTTGGAGTACTCAAACGTACATATCAAATCATTTTTAGATTTTATATGTGGTTTCACTATATACATTTCTTTAACATTATACCAGTCTGTCAGCTGTCAACTGTCAAATGTCAACCATCAACCATCAACCCCGGACTTTAATTAACCGAGCCATTTTCGCGTTTAAAATCCGTCTCCACTTTGTTTCCCCCCTCATCCTGGTCTGCATCTGCAATGTGACTTGCATATCAATTTGACTGGAAAATGCTATCTGCTTCTCTATATATTTGGAGCCATGCTCTCGGATAAAGACAATCCCGAGGATCCCGTTGAAACACGAGGATCCGAAGTCCAAGATACAGAAAATACAGAACTGGTTACCGGTCACATTCAATGCTCAGTGTGTAGCAGTACCTTCCGACGACCAGAGCATTTGAAACGACATCTACGGAGTCACACTAAAGAGAAGCCGTTTGAGTGTGCCCAGTGCGGCCGACATTTTTCAAGAACGTATGCGCGCTTGGGTGATAGCTATCCTCGCGTCGAATTCACTTGCTAATTAACCCCCAGTGATACCCTCCATCGACATGAGCTGAGTCACCATGCACCAGGAACAGGAGGGAAAGATCGCACTCACCGGATTACTGTCAAAACATTCCGAGCATGTTTTAGTTGCGCAACGGCAAGAGTAAGATGTAGCGGTGGCATGCCATGTGGGCGGTGCGACACCCGCTCGCTCGAATGTCAATACCCCACGCAACGGCGCTCTAAAGCAAAAGCTATGAGAGATTCAGTCAGACAAGAAGCCGAGGCGCAGAACGACAACCCCAAACCCATGCAAGATTTGAATGCAGCTTCTAGTCAAAGCCAGTTTTCGACACACCCACAAAACGTGCCGCCAGCATCATCCAAACCTTCACTCAATGTATCATCTACGCTCGGCAATGATCCCACAAAACAAATACCACAAAATGCACACATCGCAGACGCCTCGAATCCTCGTTTGTATCTCCCAAATGAGATACGAGGGCCGTCTGAAATGCCACTAGAGGTTTACCCTGCAGATATCAACGAGACATATGATAACTCGAGCTCCAACATCCCCAAAGCGTTCCCGGTTGATTCATCCGACAATTTAGACTCTGAAATGAGGGATCTTCAGCCGGGTGTATCCAACCCAGCAGGTGACATTGAAATGACCATGGCAAATAACTCAGAGGTGCCGCTAGAGTTTGATCCCACATTCTTTGATCAATCCATGCTTTCTACCATCAATTGGCTCCCTGGCGAATTGCTTTCGGGTGCTCCTGCTCCTAGTGGCCACGCACAGTCCACCAGTGTTTCCTCGCAATACAACCAATCTCTCAGCCCAAGTGTCTACTTCTCTCGGACAGCATGGCAACCACCGGTCGTCGGCGGGAAAATGAGCCCTTTGCAAACAGAGCAGGTCTCTCAGACACCCCCTGTGCATGTTACTCTAGGAAACGCCATGGGAAGCCCCAATCGATATTCCCACAGTATTAGCGAGCCTTCTCCTCATAGCGAATCAGTGGGTTCCGCCAAGGGATCAGCGCACTACTATGTCGATGGTGCGACATCCAGACTCCCAAAGTACGGAAAGAAACACACGCCTTGGCCTGGCTCATCTGTAGAGCCGGTCGATATTGGCAGGCAGCTAGTCATTGAAGATGACGAGCACCGGTTTAACTTTCCTATCATCTCTGAACTGCGAACAGATCAGATACCGGAAGATATAACCCAATTCGCGCAACGGATTGAAACCTCCACGTACGATGAGATCTATCGGCACTTTGTTCAATTATGCTGCAATGAAACTCCATTTTTTGAAGTGTTCGAATCGGAGAGATTTCCCACCGTGGAAGAATGCAACCAGTTCATCCTCTTCTTTTTCGATTCATTCCAGGCCGTTTATCCGATTTTACATCTTTCTCAATTTGATCCGAATACAAGCCATTCGCTGTTGACCTTGTCAATAATAGCGCTCGGCTGCCATGTATCCCTTATTCCCGAGATGGAGCAATGTGCAACTGCTTTCCACGAGCTGATTCGGCGGGGTATATATCTCGAGGTGAGAAAGGTCTCTTTGCCTTTATTCATTCCTTTCAATCTAATTGTTTTGTACTACCAGAAAGAAAAGAGTCGCTCAGGTCAGGCTTCTCTTGAGATACTGCAGGCTATGTTGTTCAATTGCATTGGACTTCTCCATAGCAGGAGCGAGCGAGAAAAGGCCTCGGCCTTGAGCACCTTTGGTGACTTGGTGACACTCATGAAAGCTTCCCGTTTATTGACACCAACGCGAACAATATTCAATGAGACGTCACAAGACGTAGCTTGGGTATCTTGGGTTCAGGATGAGGTCAGGAGACGCACCGGCTACTGTATATGGGTAAGCTTTGTCGAAAATGGCCCCTTTACTTATACTGATGATGATAGCTTGTGGATTGTACTCTTGCATATTACTTTGATAATCGACCTCTGCTCTCACTAGATGACGGACAAGCTGCATTGCCCGCACATGAGAAGCTATGGCAAGCAAGGTCTGCAGAGACATGGAAGCCACTGTGGGCGAAGTCATCCGGTAACTCTTATTCCGACCCAACAACCGACCAATGTCTAACTTCTACAGCCAACGAATCCTTGTACGACGCAGTCCACATCCTCTACGTCGAAAAGAGAGTAGTACTCGGGATAGGAGAATTCGGTCACATCCTCCTCATCCACGCTCTCTACCACCGAATGTGGGAAGTGGGAGACTACTTCCGCCGCCCACTGTCCTTCTGGAACCCAACAGCGAAAAAGCAATCCTGCGAGACCGCCATTCCCACGGGCTCAGTATGGCTCCCCGGAATCCCCTCATACTCGAAATGGCGCAACAGCGCATGCGACTGTCTCGATATCCTCCACTGGACCGCCAACAGCACCATAGCCAAAGCCGCAGGCTTCGAACACCCAACTGTCCTCCACCTCCACGCCGCCCGACTACTCCTCCTCGCTCCATTCCGCGAAATGCGCTGCCTCGCAATCTCTCTGGCAACAGAAAAGCAGCGCTGGAGCAAACGACACCAGTCCCTCGAGTGGCAGTACATCTGGCGCTGGATGAAACACGACCAATACAAAGCCCGGCTATCAATTATCCACGCTGGCGTCACTCTCTGGCATGTCCGTCGCTACTCGACGAACGCTTTCCACGAACCCGTCGCGGCGTTCATCGCCGTCCTGACGCTTTGGGCGTACGGATCTTGTCACACGCATACGTCCCATGAGTCCAGTCCGCGTTCGCAGACGCGTGCGGAGCCGCTACACCAACCGAGTTTTGTTCATCTTGACCGACCATGCGATGATGAGCTTGTGCAGCTTTTTGTGAGGGAGGGTCATGCTATGAGAGGGAATGTTACTGGCGTTGGTGATATTTGTGGGGCCGAGGGTCCGGAAAGGATATTGCGGGTCGGATGTGAGATTATTTCGGGCTTGACGGCGTGGGGTATTTCAAAGAAGTTTGTGGCTATCTTGACGCAGTTGGCAGATTTGAGCTCGTATCACTCGTCTTGGGAACAGAATCACCGGCTTGATGCTGAGAATGTCTGATTTGTGGTGGGGGTGAAGGATGAACGATCTACGGTCTATGGTAAATAAACATATTTCTTATTCTGTATACTAGTGTTTGTATCGGTCTCTTCGTTTGTTTTATATATGAATTGGATAGGGTTCATGAAGATGTTATCCGTCTATTACTCGGGGTGGTATACAACTGAGTTGGATATTTCTGTCTTCCGGGGATAAAGATTAGTAGCCTGAAGGTAATTAATTCTATAGTGAGAAATATTGCTGACGCTGGAGTATTGGTTATTTATTGATTATATAGATGATGGACCTTGCCAACTCCCGTCATTTGGTCCCATGAGAATGCTGAGAGATACGAGTGAAGTGCCAATCATTCCTATACCAAATACTACAGAATGAATTGCCTCCCACTTCTTCTTTCCACTCTCGCTGCCCGTAGATGCACCGGGCCCCAGCTGGCTGCAACAGAAATAAGGAGATAAAATAGTCCATTTCGATTGAGGTTCCAGTACCTCTCTAGCGTATAGGCCAGTCTATAGGATTAAGTTCCTATTGAGAAGCGCTTGGACTTCCCTTAATAAACTATCGTGACTCCAATGTCCGGAATAGAAAGTCCAAATTCTGATAGTAATTCTAATAGATGCACATGATGACCTTGCATTCCACAAGCGAGACTCGCCAGTTAGTCGACATTTAGGCCCTCAAACTGAATTTGCACGCCTTCCACCTTCCCAACAGCGTAGACGCCGATAATTGGGCCGGTGAAATCGGGATCGGTCATATCTAGAGTATCAACTGTTCCCAGACACGTCCAGTCATTTCCAACGTGGGGTAGGAGTGAATAAAGCAGAGAATACTGCTTCTCTGTGTACTCTATCCGGAAAAGCAAGGAGCGAGGGACTTCCCCGAGGGTGTGTTTCTCAGTTCGAACAATCTTCTTACCAGCATTGACCAGTTCGAGGACTACCGCTTGCTGAGCAGCGTCGTAGTATATCCTTGAGTAACGGTGCTCCTCCTTGTAACAGGCGAGCCCAGCCTGGATCTTGGCAGAGCTCCAGGAACCTTCGATTCCTTCAAGGGCCACCGTGCTCGTGCCGGATAATTGCCGTTGCCGCTTGCCAATGAAGGTCGGACTGTGCTCCGGGTGGGACAAATCGACCGATGACGCGGTCAATGTCACAGACGAATTGTTATTCTCGAGTCGGTAATTGCTCATAACGGCATCTCGAATGTAGAGGTTGTCCATCCCGGCTTCCGCCGCGAGGTGTGAGCTCGAACGGGTTGCTGAAAGGCTGCGGGGGTTCGATTTCACTTGATCGAAGACGGGCCATTCATCGTCCCAGTCCACCCGAGTCAAAAAGGTCTCACGACCCATGGGGCATCTCCCTTGGTTCTCTAGGCGGGCCCCAATGCAGACTCCCCACCATTGGCGCTTCTCGTCCTGGAATAGTTCACAGTGGCCGGTATATTGGATATACTCTTGAGTACCACGCGCCGTGAGGACGGGGTTGTTTGGACACGATTCATAAGGACCAAAGACGTTCTGAGAGCGGGCCATGGTCACCATATGCCCCCCATGGGTGCCGCCCTCCGCGATGAGCAAGTAGTACCAGCCTTTGTACTTATACAAGTGCGGCCCTTCCGGATAAATGTCACCGGTGCCTCGCCAGATCACTTCCTCCTCCGACAATGTTGCGCCGGTCTTCGGGTCGATCTCGAAGAGGTTGATCGTCGTGCCTGGTCCTACTCCACCCGACCCTTGCAGGTAGACTTTCCCATCATCATCGAACAGAAGACTTGGGTCGATTCCATCGAACTCAAAATAGATCGGGTCGCTCCATGTGCCTGACCAGATATCATCGGTGGAGACTATGAAATTCTCCGTTGCATCCTTATTCTCCCCCGATGCACGAACGACATTAGTACAGACGACATAGAATGTGCCCTGGTGATGACGGATCGTCGGTGCGTACAGTCCTCCACTCCCGACCAGAAACTTGCCATCATCCACTGGGTAGAGATTTGCCTGCGACTTTGCGAGGCTGAGCTGGGACTGGCGGTTGATTGCATTTCCTGTGCGCTCGCACGTTAGTGGAATCTTGAATTGTATGCCTCATCCACCAAGCAACTGAAGAACTTACCGATCTGCTGCCATGATACCAGATCTTGAGAGGCGTAGATAGGTAGACCGGGGAAAACGTGGAAACTGGAGTTGATGAGATAAAACCAGGCACCCACCTTTACCACGGATGGATCTGGAGCGAAGCCTGGTACAATGGGGTTGACTGTATCCGACATGACTAGCTCGGGCAATGTGTAAATAAGAAAGTTGGAGGAAATTGAGCTTGGAACGTCCACAGCATCTCATCTATCCTCCCCTGTAAAACATTGAAATAGAGGGGTTTAATTGAAGTTTAGGCAAATTCCGAGAGATTACGGAGGCCAAATCAGGCTGATAGGCCATGCATGAACATGGGTATCAAACACGCTATGTAGGCTAAATCGGACGAAAGCGCCCAGGAAGCTCTCCCCACAATTGCTCCGAAGGGACTACCTCAATAACCACATGGCTCCGGCGGGGGCGCGATCAGATCACTTACGCTGTCAGGTATGGGTCGGTGCACAGGGAAGACGCTTGTAAGGGAAATTGTTTCTCACAAAGCTTCACTACATATGCCAGAATGCTAGATCGACATGCGACTTGACATGAGGCTTCTTTGCCTTTCTCAACAAGCTAAACTTTCTGGATAGAGTCAGGGAAGATCAAAGCAAGTGAATGAATGCTCTCGGCTAATGCTGATCCGTCCACTTGCCGTTGATCATCCTCTTACCACATAGGGCATAGTCGGAAGTAGCTAGCCTAAGTCTCCACAACGCCACGGGGTATCGAATACGGCCTCTATGGAAGATGAACCCAATGACGCTTCAAGGATACGAGCGGTGCTAAACGCCATTTTTTGGGGTAAAATGCAGAACAGGCAAATATAACATACCCCCTGCTCAGCTATTTTCAACACTGAATGGGTGACATGCCCAGCCCGGGTAGAGGCATTACAGCCGGGAGTCAACCAAGCCACCATCTGTACGATTGGGCTTGTCCAAGCCTATATCTGTCTCAAAATCCCCAATGAGGACCCTTACCTGATTAAAAAGCTGCTCCCATCCCCGACCGCAGTCGAAGTGGATTCCTCAACTGACTGCCACCTATTTTGCTTTCTCATCTACAAGTCTGTATCCAGTCAACGCTTTCGCAATCATGGCGTTGCGATTCCGGCCCCCAAAGCAGACCCAAAAGGTCATGCCGGTAAAGCCCACCAAGGGACATTTCTTGTTCGCTCACCAGGAGTTCCAGCGCGTGCCCTGGTGGAAGAGGAAGAATATGCGTACCCTGTACATCTACATTGTCATCCTCATCATGACCAACACAGCCAACGGTTTCGATGGCTCCATGATGAACGGTCTCCAAACCCTTTCCTATTGGCAGGAATACTTCGATCACCCTCACGGCTCGCTTCTCGGTCTCTTTAATGCCTCTATGAGTCTTGGCTCACTACTCGGTCTGTTCGTCGTGCCTTACATGATCGACGCCTGGGGCCGTAGGCTCGGGTGTTTCGTCGGATGCCTCATCATGCTACTTGCAGTGGGTCTGCAGTCTGGTGCTACTGGCTTTGGCATGTTCATCAGTGCCCGTCTCCTTATTGGATTTGGTGATTGTCTCGTTCTTGGGAGCGCCCCGCTCTTGATCGCAGAAATCGCACATCCACAAGACCGTGCCGTTCTTGTCACGCTTAGCGGTGCTTCCTATCACTCTGGCGCGTTCATTGCTAGCTGGGTGACATTGGGCACTTTGAAGATTCAGGTATGTATCATTCCCAAACGGTTACCGTGCAACTGGTTGCCAAACCTGGAAACCTTGTTTCCCGGCTCACATTTTTCTTCCTATTAGAGCGACTGGTCTTGGCGTCTTCCAAGCCTGCTGCAGGCCATTTGCACCGTTATCATTGTGTGTGGTATCTGGCTGATGCCGGAAAGTCCTCGTTGGTTAATGAGCAAAGGGAGGCACGATGAAGCTATGCAGATTCTCATCAAATACCATGGCGAGGGGGACCAGAATGACTCATTTGTGCATCTGGAGTATGCAGAGATCAAGGCTGCCATGGACCTAGATAAGGAGATTGGCCAAACTCGCTGGATAGACTTCTTGAAAACCAAGGGCAACCGGAAGCGAATTGGCCTTATCACTGCTCTGGGCCTCTTTAGTCAATGGAGTGGCAATGGTCTGATTTCCTACTATCTCCACCAGGTTATGGACAGTGTTGGTATCACCAAGGCGTCCACGCAGCTCGGAATCAATGCAGGTATCAAGAGCGAAGCCTTGGTCACCAACTTCCTCCTAGCCTTCTTCATCGATAGGTTGGGAAGACGGCCAGTCTATATGGTCTCGACAGTTGGCACATTCGTGGTCTTCAACGCATGGACTATCGTATCGGCACGGTACGATATCGCGCCTAATCAGGCGCTTGGATACATTTTCGTGGTCCTCACAGTTCTCTACGGATTTTTCTACGATATCAAGTAAGTATTGGGACCTGCCCAGCCGGCAAAGTCTTTTTTTTTTTTTCTTTCTTTTTTTTTTGCCAGCATGCGCTGACATTGAGGTACTTCTTAGATCTGGACTGATGGCAACCTACACCACTGAAATTCTTCCCTACGGCCTTCGTGCCAAGGGCTTTACCTGGCTGAACTTTTGTGTCACTGCGGCACTCTTTTTCAACCAGTACATTAATGCAATTGCCCTCGATGCAATTGCCTGGAAGTATTACATCGTCTACTGCGTTTTCCTGGGAATGGAAGTGTTCGTTATCTACACCTTCTTGATCGAAACCCGTTACACTCCTATGGAGGAAATTGCCAAGTACTTCGATGGCGACGCGGTTGATGTTGGCGAGATCGCCATCGCGGACATGAAGGAGCAAGCCAGGGACGCAGACGGCAAGGCAGCTACCGTCCATGTTGAAGTGAAGGAGTAATCAGAATACGCAAGGCATAAAGATTCGCCAAATTGCTTATGAGTAAGAAGAATCCACAGATACAAAGTAATAGGAGGCTGAGTTTGTGAAAGCGACTTTTCTATGTATAACCTTTGACTTGTTTTAGTGATTTAAACTCTTTAAACTCAAGGAAAAGAACCCAAAGAATAAGATAATGTGGAACAAAATAGGTTGATCATAGAGCCAGATTCTTTGCATGGCTAAACCAGGCTGGTTACAGCTATATTTCAAACTGGCTTCCATGTTGCGCAAGATTGTTTCTAGAATGGGTCTGAAATTATAGACCTGGTCGAATCAAAGGTGTCGCAGTTTCCAAACCCAACACCGCGCCCGTCCTTCAACCAGTCACCATCGAGTACTACCGCCCTGCCCGATCCTGACCTACTGTAGACTATGGGCCGGTATTATGCAGCTTGATATTTATCCAAGAATATCACGTGTTTAATTAATGCGTAGATAAGGCAGTAGGTGAGGCTGACTAGCGATTCATCTCCTCTTCCCCCTTTGGCCCCCTAAAAGGACATCGCTGAAACCCAGGTAGCCACACACCGCTAACGCCCTCTTTGCTACGTTGGCGATTTCTCCACTTTCTACTTCTACCTGTGCCTTCGTCTAACCCGGAAGACTATACTGTCGGTTGGATTTGCGCTATCACCACTGAATATGTTGCCGCTCAAGCGTTCCTCGACGAAAAACATGACCACCCAGCGTATCTACCGCCCCGCAACAAGACCGACTACACTTTAGGAAGAGTTGGGAAGCATGATGTGGTTATTGCCGTTTTACCCATGGGTGAATATGGCACGAGCTCGGCAGGTCGGGTGGCAGAAGGTATGATGTATAGCTTTCCCAATATCCGTATCGGCCTTATGGTGGGCATTGCTGGCGGTGCGCCAAGCCAAAAGCATGATATCCGTCTTGGAGATGTTGTGGTTAGCATTCTCCGTAATTGCCAGAGCGGTGTCCTTCAGTATGATTTTGGCAAGACGATCCAGGGCCAAACCTTCCAGCCCACGGGTTTTCTAGGCCAGCCGCCCAATATCCTACGCGCAGCAGTAAATGGACTCGAAGCCCAGTATAAGAGCGAAGGAAACCACCTCGACGAAACGGTCCATAGAATCCTGGAGAAGAAGCCGCGACTACGAAGGAAATATCAGCGCCTCGATTTGGCTAGTGATCAATTATACCGAAGTGAGGTTATTCATCCCGTAGACGGTGATGTAACTTACGCTTTAAGTTACGGTGAGGATCCATCCTAACTAGTGCCGCGATCTCCCCGCACTAACGATGATGATAATCCCGCAATTCATTATGGCCTTATTGCCTCAGCCAACTAACTCATGAAGGACGCTTTGGTTCGAGATAAATTAGCTGCGCAAAAAGACGTTTTATGCTTTGAGATGGAAGCTGCTGGATTGATGAACCACTTTCCTTGCCTAGTGATCCGAGACATCTGCGACTATGCTGACTCGCATAAGAACAAAGCCTGGCAGGGGTATGCAGCCATGGTTACAGCTGCGTATGCTAAAGACCATCCCTCCACGCTGACGAGCATGGCCAACCTAGCCTTCACGTGGGAATATATAATTGATTTGCTTCGAACCTACGTGGTCAAGCAACAACGAGTTTTTGGCCCAGCTCATCCTCATACTATGTCTAATGACAACATATAGTTCAGATGACGGAGCTCTTTATCTTATCAGTTCCAGCCTAAAAACATCTACATCTAGGGGTAATCTTAGAACTTCCAACTTCCCTCTCTTAACTTCTCCAATGGATTCCGGTATCTTCAACAGGACAATGCATCTAAGAAGCGCTTCCTTAAGCCTCATGGATCCCTCCCAAATCCATATTATTAGGGAGATTACACACTCTAATGCGTCTTCAATATTCGAGGTAGATCTAGGTGAACAAAAATATGCTTTGAAGGTTTTCCACGATAATGGTGACCCTAGATATACCGAAAAAGGCCGTGATTTAAACCGGTCTCGCTGCGAATTTAATGCATACAAGAAGCTCCTCGCTTCTGGTGTCTGTGAGAGCGGTTTGGTTCCAAAATTCTACGGTTTTATCAATCTGGATCCCGCAGCATTCCATCCGACTTTACAACATTTCGCCCAGGACAAGCTAGAGCCGAGGGCAATATTGCTAGAGTACTTCCCAAATTCAGAGAGTTTAAACTGCGCGAACTACTCAGATACGCTCTTCCCCCAGGCAATTGAGGGCATGAAGGAGATACAAAGGGCGGGCGTTCACCACGGAGACGTTTACCCTTAAAAACCTTCTCCTGGTCCGTGAAAACCCCGATAGGCTGGTCTGGATTGACTTTTATACTGCGATGACCGTCACCGACTTTGGACGTGAACAGCTGGCTCTCTGTGAACACGAAATTGCGCTTGTCAAGGGATTTGGGGAAGCACTAGTAAGGGCTCCGTTGCTCCCTATGTTAGAAACATATAGCGTGCTGACTGGCGAATACAGAGAAATGATCAAGCCGAGGCACTCCCACCGAATACAAAATTTTATTAAGGGATTCATGTTGATGTTGATATCAGAATGGATCGGTGGATAGGGGCTACCGATAGTCTCTCAAACCAAGGTTCTACAAGAATAGTTGGCCGCTTATGCGGCCTTGTAAGGTCTTTACGGTGGTCTTTTTAGATATTCTGTTTAGATGCCTTTTGATATTTTCTAGAGGCTTAATTGGTGAAAACAACTTTTCGATGTGTAGCCTTTGATATATATAGTCATGTAGTCACATTCGTGACGGGCATGTAATTGAACATCTCAAGGTGAATGATAAAAGTATGACGCAAGACATTTGAGAACAAGCCGAGATCATCAGATATGTGTAAATCGGTCTAGAAAAGCGGACTTGTTCATAAAAGTCCAGTCTCGTATAGTTCGAGAAAGCTGGTAGAGCTCCTTATCTTATCAGCAGTGCAGCCTAAAAACATCTGGGGTAGTGCAACCTTGGAACTTTCAACTTCCCTCTCTTAACCGTTCCAATGGATTCCGACGAGATATTAGGGCAGGATCTTCAGCCAGAGAAAGAAGATCTGGACGAAAAGTGAGCCCTAACTCAGGACGCTAAGCTTCTGGGAGGATCACTGATACTTGACAGATACCCTAACAGACCTCACAACCGGGCCCCAACATTGCCGTTCAACAATCTATACCTTGACCTATTCAATCCACTAAGTGAGCTCAAAAAGAAGCCCTCAGGACCTGCTCCAGCTCGCCGAAAAGTTGGTCCCCATGGCAAAGGTGCTGCGAGTCTCAACCCGTTCGAGCGCCGGCGTGATGTGATTGAGCGCTTCATTTCGCGGTGGCGCAAGGATGTCGGCGACGACATTTACCCCGCCCTTCGATTGATTCTTCCTGACAAAGACCGCGACCGACCTATGTACGGAATCAAGGAGAAGGCTATCGGGAAGATGCTCGTCAAGATCATGAAGATCAACAAAGAATCAGAGGATGGATACAATCTTCTGAATTGGAAGCTTCCCGGCCAGGGTGCTACAGCACGTATGGCAGGTGATTTTGCTGGAAGATGCTTTGACGTTCTCTCGAAGCGGCCCATGCGGACCGAGCCGGGCGACATGACGATCGACGAGGTCAATGAGAGACTGGATAAGCTATCTGCTGCCTCAAAGGAGGATGAACAGTTGCCGATTTTGACGGAGTTCTACCGGCGAATGAACCCAGAAGAGCTTCTGTGGCTCATTCGCATTATACTTCGACAGATGAAGGTTGGTGCTACCGAGCGAACACTCTTTGATGTTTGGCACCCCGATGCCGAGAGCCTGTACAGCATCTCTAGCAGTCTGCGACGTGTGTGTTGGGAGCTACATGATCCCAATATCCGACTTGAAGGAGAGGAGCGCGGTATCGCATTGATGCAATGCTTCCAGCCTCAGCTGGCCCAATTTCAGATGCATTCATTCGATAAAATCATTGCTCGTATGAAACCGACAGAGGATGACAACGTATTCTGGATTGAGGAGAAAATGGATGGAGAGCGTATGCAGCTCCACATGGCGCCTGACGAGTCAACGAAAGGCGGTCGGAAATTTGGCTTTTGGTCACGCAAAGCGAAAGAATATACCTACCTATATGGAAATGGCTTTTATGATGAGAACAGTGCTCTGACAAGGCATCTCAAAGATGCTTTCGTGGATGGTGTACAGAGCATTATTCTGGACGGCGAAATGATCACCTGGGATCCTGAACAGGACGCCATGGTTCCCTTTGGCACGCTCAAAACCGCGGCGTTAGCGGAACAACGCAACCCTTTCTCAAATGCCCCGCGACCCTTGTTCCGTGTGTTCGATATCTTACATCTCAATGGACGTGATCTAACAAAGTATACCCTTCGTGATCGTCGCAATGCCCTGGAGAAAACTGTCCGACCTGTCCATCGCCGGTTCGAAATCCACCCTTACGAGGAAGCCACCACCACCACAGAAGTTGAAGCGGCTCTGCGGAAGGTCGTCGCCGAGGCGTCAGAAGGTCTTGTGTTGAAGAACCCGCGCTCTCCATACCGACTGAATGAACGCCACGATGACTGGATGAAAGTCAAACCAGATTATATGACCGAATTTGGAGAGTCCCTTGACGTTGTTGTGATTGGCGGATACTATGGCTCGGGTCATCGAGGAGGTGCGCTGTCCAGTTTTCTCTGTGGACTACGAGTTGACGACAGCACACAAGCACCAGAGAAATGCTGGTCCTTTTGTAAAGTCGGTGGCGGGTTCACTGCAGCTGACTACCAGGAGGTCCGCCATCATACAGATGGCAAGTGGAAGGCGTGGGATGCAAAAAGGCCACCGACTACCTATATCGACCTGGCGGGTGGAGATGCCCAACATGAGCGTCCAGATATGTGGATCAAACCATCCGACTCAATTGTTCTTTGTGTGAAAGCTGCATCTGTCGCAATCAGTGATCAGTTCCGCATGGGGTTGACATTGCGCTTTCCTCGCTTCAAGAAATTGCGCAAGGACAAGGACTGGAAAAGCGCGCTCTCAGTTCAGGAGTTCCTTGACCTAAAGTCCAATGCAGAGCAAGAACACCGGGAGAAAGAGTTTTCTATTGATAACCCTCGGAAGAAGCGAGTAAAGAGGACCACTAAGAAACCGCTCACGGTTGCTGGGTACGACGATAATGTCGATGTCGAGTATCTTGGGCCTTCCGGGCATATCTTCGATGAACTTAACTTTTGTATGTGGTTTGATCGTGTTCCCTTCCGATCGTACATGATACTAATATAGTGGCCCTCTAGTCATAATGACCGAGTCGACTGTCCCAGAAAAGAAAACCAAAGGTCAACTAGAACAACTGGTGAAGGCTAATGGTGGCAAATTTTATCAAACCAAGACAGCTGCGGTAGACACGCTCTGTGTTGCTGAAAGGAGTGAGATTCATTCTACACATATAGAATAACCCAAGCTAACGTTTCGGCAGGAACGGTCAAAGTAGCTTCATTACAAAAGAGTGGAGAGCAAAACATCATTCGGCCATCTTGGCTTATCGACTGCGTCAAGCAGAATGAAATAGATGCAGGCCTACCAGATCTTCTGCTCCCGTTCGAACCAAGGTACGTTTTGACAGCCAAAGGAGATCCACGGGGCTAATTCTTATCGATTTCTATAGACACATGTTTTTCATGACAGAGGACAAAGAGGAAGAAGTCGCAGTAAATGTCGACAAATTCATGGACAGCTATGCCCGCGATACAACCGTCAACGAACTCAAGGATGTATGACACCCCCAAAGAAATAGCGAGAAACAAGCACGGCTTTGACTAACAAGTATTCAATCTTGCAGATATTCAAACAAATGGACCAAAACCAAGAGCAGCCCGACCGTACCCCAGACCCAGAAACTGCTCAAAGAATCGAGACTCTTATCCAGGACGAAGTAAACGCCGGCTACACAGTACCCTGCGGCTGGCTCTTCCGAGGCCTGAAGTTCCATTTCTACTCGAATGGCGATCAACAGAACGAACCAGCCTCCCGAGAACTGAGAAAGGAGGACCGCCGCCTCCACTTCGCTCGCAACACAGCCCGGTTCGCAGGCGCTGAGAACGCCAGCTCATTGAAGAGCCCAGATACCACACACGTGATAGTCGACCCGGAGACGTTGTCTTCGGCGGACATATCCTCTCTCCGGAAATCCCTAGCCGCAAAGCCGGGCGCGAAAATGCCGCATCTTGTTACCGTGGGCTGGGTAGAAGACTGCTGGAAAAACGGCACTTTGCTCGACGAGGAGAGTAAGTTTAAACATCCATTCCGTATTTCGGCCGTTCGAGGCGTTCTAACGCGTGGCAGGATTCCCTGTTCCACGCTGAATTGTGAAAACTGCGTTCAGATCGCTTTATGAATTACGCATTTCTTTTCCAATTTCCCCCTCTGGTCGCTGGACATATGCACGGCCATGCAAAGTCAGCTAATCGAAATCAACGGAGTCTGCGGGTACATCAAGTCACATTCTATGGATCATCTGATTCCGTCCGAGCCAACTCGGCTATGATAGTCTGGAGAAATACCGGCGTAGCCAAAATGACCTATTCCGTGGACTAATAAACTGTTCTTTGGGTAGACATGCTGTATTATTTGAATCATGCGGCTTTGGTGGTCAAAGAGCCCAATAAACACCCGAGACTCATCAGGCCACGCGGGGTGATCCGGGGTGAGATCTCATGTCGTGGAATGCAGGTTGATATCATACAGAATGTTTAAAGTTAATCTAGGATTTGTTACACGAGAGTTTGCTATGTATGGAGGAAGTATAGTTACTTGAGTGGGCTCTCCAGTATCATTAGTAATCTTCAATGTACTTTCAAGGCAGCGTTTTTGATGTACTTTTTGTCTTTTAGCCGGATGAGCGAACAATAACCAAGCACGGCCGTAAACGAGAGACTTTTAAGATACACTTTTCCATATAGTATGTGCATGTATGTAGTATGTTGTGTTATAGTTACAAGGCAAATGATACATAATTTCACAGATTTGATTCGAGTTGAGTAGATATCTTAGGTGGGTGATCGAGAAAGATCGATCTGATAAAATAAAAGAAAGAAAAAGCAGCCATAGCAAAATGATAGCGCTGTCAAGGTAGAAATGGGGGTATGTAACAAAAGAGAGGAAATATCTGCGCCGAATGGGACACCATCCTAGTCCAACGCCGCGCTTGCAGAGAACCAAAGAACAAAAACAGAACAAAAAGAGAACAAAAAAGATGTATGTACTGAAGTGAAGTAACCAAAAGGAAAGATGTATCGTGCCATATCTTGCGCTCTGCGCTAAGACAGGACATCTATCAAAACCTTTATTTCACTGGGCTGAGACACCCACCCACCGGGACGGAACGGTGTTGCTGTCATCTCCGTCCTCGTATTGTCCCGACAAGTGGGAATTTGTCTTGCGTGCTGGCAGCCAGATGCGAGCACGGGGTGGGATGTCGTCGCGGAGTTTGCCGCTGCGGCGCATGTTCATTTCGAGAACAACCACGCGCAAGAAATCGCTGTTTTCACGAATTTCGCGCTGGCGTGACATGGGTGGAACTTCCGGGTCGAATGCAATGAATTTCTGATCCTTGCTCGCGATGTGGAAATGGTTTCGTCGGTTCCCACGGCCGCCGGCTCGACGATATGTCTGCATTTGGATCGAAACGGGGGATGTACTGGAGGTTTTTGGCTTGTCGTGGGGATGATCGTGATAGACGTACATCTCTGCCGGTGACATCGGGGTTGGGTTCATCGGGGGTGGATTCAAGTAGCGTCGTAGTGCTGGAGAAGGTGTTTCTTGCATCGGCAAAGGACGACGATCATCGGTCATCTCTGGGGTGATGGTGAAGAGAGATCGAGTGAGGAAGTCCTCGGGTTGCACAGAAGGCGTGGCAAATGTCGAAACTGACTGTGCAGCCGATTTGATAGCCCGTAAAGATGCTGTGAGGTTCGACTTGAAAGAAGATCCGAGGCGTCCAAATGATGCAGATCGCTTTGCGGGCACTGTGTTGACAAGCTCATTGTTGTTCTTGATTTCGATATATTCACATTCATCGAGTTCAGTTTCAAGCAGAGGATGGTCCAAGGCACACTCCTCGGAAAGTGAATACCGAGGCTGTCGTCTCTCTAGTGGACTTCGTGGACTTTGGGGACTTCTGTGACTGGGAGGGGTTGGCGAGGGAAGACTGGGTGGCGATGATAGGCCATGGTCTAATGACGGCATCGAATCGCTTGATGCTGACCTCACTGACAGTGGTGATTCGTGCTCGGAATCGTTGCAAGGTAGGTGTTTCTCATTGTCTTGATCGGGTGGACTGAGAAGGATGTCAAGAGGGGAGTAGGCGGTCCCATCCAGGAAATTATCTTCTTTCGACTTGATATCTTCTTGCAACATGCGCCTAAAATCTTCTTCATGGTTTCCACGAGGTAGTTTCCGTGGTCTGCGGGTGGTCCAGTTTCGTCGCGGGACGGGGATGGCCGTTGCATCCAACATCGAGGTGAATGACGTAGGGATGGGGCGGTCGTTGGATGAGCTGGAGGAGGACCGACGAGAGGATTCGGAGGTTTTAGACAAGGTACGTGAACGCATATCTCGACGTGCTGGCATAGTCCGCGGGCTGCAGCCACGCTTTGGAGGAATTACCACTGGAATAGTGTTGATCGACCCACGGGTCTCGGTGTTGGTGGCAGAGAGAGGATGTCCAGAACACCCCGACGGCATAAAGGGTTTCACCCCAGACTGAAATGGTTTCTGCGGTGGCGCCGAGCTAAACAGAAATGCTCTAGGGACCATCATCTTGACTGTCTCATCACACGACAGTTATTATCGAGGCTTTAACCGGAGGAAGCGCTCTGGTCGAGTTTCTGAACGAGATACATGGATGAAGGAGAAAATGGAAAGTGAGACGATGACAGTAAGTCAGAGGAGAAGACAGCCAATCCAAGGGTGTATGTGTTGGCCCAAAGAGATGCAAGGAAAGCGGATAGGGCCGTGAGACAAGGGTATGCAGGGACACGCGAGCGGATAAGGTAATAGAGACAGGCGATAAGAGAGAGTTGGAAGGATCCCAAGTTGAAGATATTGAAATAGGAAGGAGGATAGAGGGAGCGAAAGAGGAAAAGAGGTTCAATTGAGATAAAGCGATGGGGGGAGAAAGTGGATGATCTCAGATTCTCAGATAAGCCGTATTGGGCAGGTAAACGCATGTAAAGATCACGGGAGGCGCAGGACGGTAATTTATTTTACCATATGAATGATTGGTTGTGGGGACAATGCCGGCTTCCGGGTTGTGTTTGTTTGTAACGGTATTCATTCATACAGTTCCCATTACTCATGGAACATTCCGCCGGTGGAGTCCGGAAGGGAAAATGATTTTTATAGTTATTTTTATATTCTATATTATGGATATTTGCATCTTCTGATACATTTATGACACGTAGTATAATGACTATAATATGTATGTGTACTCTATACCATAGTAAAACATACCTGTAGTATATAGTTTATACGGTTTATACACTTTAGATAGAGTACAAGACAATCCAGCCTCCGATCAAAGTGTTGAATAAAATCGGTGGGCCCTTTAAGGTTGCTTTTAGTGTGGTGCCCGGCAGATGCACACCGTTCCCCCCCAGGATCGAAATCCAAAAAAAAAAAAAAAAAGATATCCATTTTCCTAATTTTGACTGGTTTTCCAACCTTGGAAGGTTGTTAGTTTGCTTACAGAGTATAGAAAAAGGAACGATAGACATACTTTAGATTTTTATAGATCGGCAGGTACTCAGAGGCTCTCATGTTTAAAGGGAAAAACATGACTAAAAAGGAGCGGGTGGCTGCAGTCCCAAAACGTCAAGTCGAAGAGACCCTACGTGGCTAGTGGAGCGCCTTAAGCGAGGATAATAATTGCGGTGAACCCCCCTATAACCTCCCCCTATTTTCTTTATATTGGTGGCTTTTGTGGCTAGAGGCTAGATTTTTGAGTCATCGTACTGGCAAGGTTCCAAGATTGTTTATTATTTAGGATAGCCTTGGAAAATAGTCCATGTCTAGTTCCAATATTATGCCCGGACTCCGTAACTAGTATATAGTGCAAAATACCACTTAAAATCAAAACAAAAGGAGACCCACATTGTTATCGAACATCCTTATTTGGCCGAATCTTCGATGTGAAATATAAACATCAAAATCTCCATGTCCAAAAAAGCAAAGTTCACATAAGGGGGAGGGCCTTTAGCGAGGGTAATTGCGGTGAACCCTTTTACGACGTGTTCGTTTTTTCCTCTGTCTTTTTGTGAGGTTAGGCAGTCATACATGATTTTATTGGTATCTATTTGCTTCCGGCCATATGTAACCTCAATCGGTCTATGTATGTAACCTACGGAGTACGGACCAAAACTTGAATCCTTCAGCCAAAATCCGAAACGTGTATCGGAGATAACATCTTAAGAATTACTTGGCAGGGGTCTAGTAATTTTCCATTCTCTGAACAACTTCTGTCGACATATTACTATATGGAATGAGCCTACGGAGTAGAATAAAATGATATATGGCCTCGGTGTATGTTTATGGCCGGCAGCCCACGTGAATATATTAGTCAGCCGCTTATCGAAAATGGACATGGGCACACCTGGGCACTTGAGCAGCCATCCAGAGGCCAGCGATAACCACAGCTTGCGTCGTCATTGCTTGCATCCAATCATTTCAAGGGCATCACAAATTTCCAATCTCACCAACTTTTACGCTGAGCTTGTCCCCACCTCCACTGCGGGTCGTTGCAATCGTGGGGTACATGGTTCATTCTACAATCGCCACCAGGCCTGTATAGATCTTCAAGCGTAGCTGGTGCGTTCATGTTTCCTACGGCGCAATATCCGATCTTAGCGCCTGACTAGGCGGTCCGGATCGCTATGGATGGTCCTATAGACTAACGTGCCGACAGCCACCGTGTGTATCCTCGATCTAGCAAGCCACCATGTTCTACTAACGAGCTCTGTACTCTAAAAGATGGACATGCCATGTCGAGGTTTGGACCAGTCACCGGCAAACACGACCACTAGGCATGCGAAGAGTCCCCGAGGAGAAACCAGCACACGCACTTCTTGAACCGCACCTATCAAACTAACAGAAATCATGAGTGCCGAACGTGCCCAACCGTCCAAAAGACGATGCGTCAGCACAGCCTGTGTCGCCTGCCGCAAAAGGAAGTCAAAGGTTGGACTTTGATATTCCGATATTGAGATGTCACATTACTAATACGACCTGTGTGTAGTGTGATGGAAATCTACCAAGCTGTGCAGCTTGCTCATCAGTATACCATACACCTTGTACGTATCTCGTTTACAGGTAATACGAGCCTTGCTAACCCTTCATAGGTGTGTATGATCCGAACTCGGATCATCGCCGCAAAGGCGTTTACAAGAAAGACGCCGATACATTGCGGACCAGAAACACCACCTTACAGACATTGATACAGGCAATATTAAACTACGAAGAAGAGGATGCCTTTGAACTAGTACGTCAGATCCGTGCTTGCGATGATCTCGAAGATGTAGCATCTTCGGTGATAGCCCAAGAGAAGGGACTCATGTCTACGGATAAAGCAGCAAAAGAGTCAGCTAGCAATGAGGACATGGCCGAGATAGATCAATTCGAGTCTGAGCTGGCTGGCAAGATGAGTGAGCTCGTGCTTGATGGTTCTCGCAAATTTATTGGAGGTACCTCGAACCTCATCTTCTTGCCGCCAGGCTCCGAGCTGCACGAGTCTGCTTCGGTTCAAAACAACCTCATGCTCGATGCCGATAATCAAACACACGCTGTGAACCGGTGGACTGAGGTCACAGACGACGACTCTCTCATCAGTCATCTGATGACCATGTACTTTACATGGCACTATCCGTTCTTCACTACCCTATCCAAGAATATGTTCTACCGGGATTACATCCGCGGTGTTTCCAGTTCATACTGCTCTGCATTACTCGTCAATGCTATGCTAGCTCTGGGCTGCCATTTTAGCTCATGGCAAGGTGCTTTCGATGATCCCAAGAATCTTGCAACAGCAGGAAATCATTTCTTCAAAGAGGCCAAACGACTTATATTAGAAAATGACGAACATGAGAATGCAAAGCTTTGCACTGTTCAGGCATTCGCACTTATGTCTGTCCGAGAGGCGGGATGTGGCCGCGAAGGAAAAGGCTGGGTCTATAGTGGTCTCAGTTTCCGCATGGCTTTTGATCTAGGGTTAAATCTCGATTCGGCAAATCTTGGGGCGCACCGTCTCAGCGACGAAGAGATTGACGCCCGACGGATCACCTTTTGGGGTTGCTACATCATAGACAAGTCAGTCTACATTACCTTGATTATCTCTCAGGCCCCTCTAACGTTATACAGATGCTGGTCAAATTACCTCGGTCGTCAGCCCCAGTTGACCTCGACCAACGCTAATGTGCCCAAGTTTGATGTGTTGCCCCAAGAGGAAATAGAGTTATGGTCGCCCTACACAGATTCTGGAGTTAGTCACGAGCACACCCAAGCGTCAAGAACCAGGGCCGTCGCGCTCCAAATATCCAAACTGTGTGAGATCAGCGGCGATGTACTTGTGTTCTTCTACCATCCAACCGAACTAGAAAAAGCCCACCCCAAACAGTCAGAACTGAAGAAACTGAGCGATGTTCACACTCGGCTTGAGGCGTGGAAAAACAATTTGCCCAAGGAACTAATGGCAAAAGAAGGACAGCTACCACAAGTGCTTGTCATGCAGTAAGTCGATACCCGTGTACACGGTATTGCCTTCGCTAACTCTTTGCTTAGTATGTTTTACCAGCTTCAAATAATTCATTTGTACCGACCGTTCCTGAAGTATACCAAGGCCAACACTCCACTTCCTTCCCATGTCTCACCTCGCAAGATATGCACCCAGGCCGCCGCGACTGTTTCCAAGCTGCTGCGCATATACAAACGAGGATATGGCCTGAAACAGATCTGCAACATCGCCGTCTATATCGCTCACACTGCATGCACCGTCCATCTTCTCAACCTCCCCGACAAAAATGCCCAGAGAGACGTGATACACGGCCTCAAAAATCTCGAAGAAATGGCAGAGGGCTGGCTCTGTGCTCGACGTACCCTCCGCATCCTCGATATATCCGCAAACAAATGGCAAGTAGAGCTACCACCCGAAGCAATCTCCGTCTTTGAACGAACCCATACCAAATGGGGATCATGGGGCTCTTGGGACCAAGCAGCTTCCCCCTCAGCATCCGACGACTCTCCCAGCGCAAACTTGTTACATCCCTCTACAAGCCCTAGCCGATTTTCACCATCCAGCTTCCCATTCCCGCGTTCTCGCACCGACCCCATCGCCATGGTTGATACACAAATGGGCCATCAATACGGGTCACTCGCTGCCGCCCCATTATCCTTCTCCTCCATGCAAGGAATGCATCCACCTCAAGCCCAACGGCCCGACTTCGCCCCTCCCGAACCAACATACCTCCGGCCCCAAGTGGCCTATCAATTCGCTCCCCTCCCGGGATCCGTTCCGGCTCCTTCTTCCCCCCACCAGAACAAATGGTACGATGGCTCTGGGGCTCATATCTCACCCAAAAATGCGACGCCGACGTCGGTTGCATCCCCCGTGTCTGGGTATGACGGCACGGAAAACCTGGTCGAAGAGAGCCAGGACTGGTGGTCGAGAAATTCTAATGCTTATGGGATCGGCATGGATAGTTGGAGTGGTACTTGGAATGCTGCTCAAACCCAGCCTTCTCTCATGCAATACCAGGATGGTAATCTCATGTCTGTTGCTCAGCCTTCTGGTTCTGGCGATGAGCAGCCTTAAGCCCCATTGGAATGTCGACAGTTGGGTCACCCTTGGATCCTGATGACACGACTGGGTATGGGGATAGATGGAAATAATGGACCTTGTGTGATCCTTGACTTATAGGAATATCTCGTCCAATTTTTGATACCACTTTAGGGGATTTGTCTTGTCCCGGCGTTTATGGACGATCTACAATTTTGGCTTCTATGTTGCAGCACCTTATGACCAATTTACGGAAGACATTTATAGTATCAAAAGATTTGTCATAGATGATCATTAGTTCTCAAAAACCAACACCAAGGCGCAAAATGCTACTTCCATGGGAAAAAAGAGAGAGAAAAAAGGTGTATGGGATGGTATCACTAGACATGGATGTTAGTAAGATGATCTGAGTCAAGACGACAGAAGAAAAGAAGAGCTTACCAAGAAATAATCAGCGACAGGCTTCTTCGCAGGCATGCCCCTTGTGTCCTGCGCTGCAGCCTCAAAGACACGGTACCTCCTTCCAGGACTAACGACTCTATTATTGGTAACGCCGTTGCTCCGACCATATTCGCCGTTACTGCGAGCAACAGTGCCACCGCCGCTAGTGTCTTCACCCAGCTCAAGGATAGCGGCAACATTTCCACAACGGTAGCAGTAGTTCGGAGCAGACCATACAGTGACGATACCGCCATCAAACATCTCCTTGTATCCCTCCATAACAAGCTGGTGGGCACGCGCGACAAGGGACAAGCCATTGAGATGGTTGAACTGTTTGACGATATCGCCGCCGAAAAGGAACCCAGCCCCACGAGGACTCAATCCCCAGCCTTCGATCTCATCCGGATCTGACCAGAGCAGATCGCACATGGCACCTTCGTGTGGCACCTCTTGCTTGCGATCAATCAGCCGAATTTTATCGACAGAGTCAATGAGCGGTGACAATCCACCGTGTACACAGAGCACCGCACCAGTCCGGCTAGTCACGGCGCTACCGTTGCCATCGCCGCTCGCGCCTGTCCCCGGTGCCCCCGACCGTGAGGGCGTGGCAGCCTGGCCTGGAGCGGCGGAGATATCTCGTGGTGGGGATATATTTCTAGAATCTGTGGATGCATCGGAAGACGCACGCTGTCGCGCGCGGTACGTACTCATCGTGACTTGCCCTCTGGAATCCAGGACTTCTGTTTCCAGCTCGCTGTCATCGACCGGAATGCTTGATGGTGCTGTGTTGGAGGTGGGTTCTAGTTCTGAGCTCGCGCCGAGCACGATCGCGCCCAGGGCCAAGTAGTCGAATACTTCGCAGCAATACCGCCATACGTTCGCACTGCCGTATTTGCGAATGCACTCGTCGTAAAACCCATATACTGTTGTGATTTGGCGTGATTCGTGATTGCCGCGGATCAGGGTGATGCGGTCGGGGTATCTGACTTTCAAACAAAGGAGGAGAAGGAAGGATTCAAGAGAGTAGAAGCCACGGTCGACAAAATCGCCCATGAAAAGGTAGTTTGTATCGGGAACATCGCCGCCGACGCGGAATAGTTCCATCAAATCGTGGAATTGGCCGTGGATATCGCCGCAGATGGTTACGGGAGCGTCGACGGACACGACATTGCCTTCTTCGATCAGGAGTTCACGCGCCTTGTAGCAAAGTTCGCGAACTTGGCTTTCGGGGATCAGGCGGCAGGCCCGCAGCTGCTCGATCGCCCTGTTAGGCACAAAACATTAGTTTGATGGTGAACGATGGGCGTCTAGAAACTTGAGGGGTTAACGCCGTACCGGTCTAGGTCACTCATGTTGTAGAAAGAGGGAGGGGGAAGGAAAGGAGGACTGTATTCAAGTCTAGAAACCTCCAAAGAGATATCAGATGGCTCAGTTTCCCCTTGAAAAATACAGTCTCATCTTCGCGAAGCTATGATGCGCGACGCAGAGACTTGAGAGAAGCGGAACATCCAATCACGCGGGAGCCAGATAAGATTAGATGCACCCAGAGCAGCCCTTCCACGCTGCCGTCCACGGCTCTTCTCTCCGCCCGCTCCCCTTTGAATCTCCCTTCACATTTGCTGTCGGGGGTCTAGAAGCCTGTCAATTTGAACAATTATCATTGAACATTCAATTGACCTCCTTGCCTGCTATTTCTTCCCGACTACACCAGCCAGCCCAGTCCGAGCCCTCCGATGGCCTGAAAAATTCCAGAAACAGTCGGCCACGTCCACCTCGTCTCAATTGAACATCAATAATTGTTCGCTCTCATCACATACACAATGCCACCGCATCTACACCCTCGGTCGCGGTCGACCACCGGCCTGTTCGCCGGCACCCTCCTAGCATCTCTTCTAGTTGTCGGCATGCCGCACGTCTTCCCTTGCCCATCCCCACGACGCACCTTTGCCGATTCGGAGATGACCATGACAGCCGATGGTCAACAAGTGCCACGCATCCGACGTAGACGACGGAAGGATGTTGAAGTGAGCCCAGACGGTAGTCAGCCGAGTCAGCCCACACCAGTTGTTGTGGACGAGGAGGTCTCGACATTCCTCCAGATGGAGGAAGAAGCAGAGAAACTCTCGCACATCAATCGAGAGTGCCCCGTTCCCAAACCCAAGGGTGTTATAGGGGAGTTGCTGGGCTTCCGAGCGAATGCTCAGCACCAGCCCACCACCATGTCTGAAGGGGACCGATAATGCGTGCACATCGACACGACAGTCTCCTTCCAACTTGTTGCATTTTGTTTTCTCGGCTTGTTTAATGATACCATGGATTTTGACAATAAGGGTTGGGTGGATCGGTGGATTTTCGGAAGAAAGGCCATTCTCAAGGTCCCAGAGCGAGCTAGACCTACAACATATATGTATTCTCTATGTACAGTGAGATGTATAAAAGCAAATACCAATTGTATTAAGACTAGAAAGAATCAAAAGTTATATACTTTCCTCGGCCAAAATATGTTACCTTCCAACTTATAATGCGAGCGTAGGCGGAGCTAGCTCCGGCCACCTTGAATATTCTCCCCGTCAACCATCGAGCGTATCTCGCCATGGCGTTAACAGCCAAGAACTTCGCCTACGACGTGCTCACCAATCATCGACATACAAGATGGGTTGGACCTCTACTCATTCTAGGCGACGCGCTGCTCTGCGCCCTCGTTATATGGAACATCGCCTGTAAGATCGCGCCTAGGTGTCGCGTACTGAACCAGACCCAGCTAACCAAGCAACTACAGACACTGAGATTGACTGGTCCACATATATGCAACAAGTCTCTCTATACATCTCCGGCGAACGCGATTACCTCCTGATCAAAGGCTCAACCGGTCCCCTCGTCTACCCCGCCGCCCACGTATACATCTACACCCTCCTCTACCACCTCACCGATGAAGGCCGTGATATTCTCCTCGGGCAGGCACTCTTCGCCGTGCTCTACCTCGCTACGCTGGCTGTGGTAGTTGTATGCTACAGACAAACGAAGGCACCTCCTTATCTTTTCCCGCTCCTTGCTCTGTCCAAACGCCTGCATAGCATATTCGTCTTGCGCATGTTCAATGATGGCGTCGCGACTTTCGCTATGTGGCTTGCTATCTACCTGTGTATGAGACGCAGCTGGACGGCGGGAATTGTAGTGTGGTCTTTTGGGGTTGCGATTAAAATGACACTTGTGTTGCTTGTGCCTGCTATTGCGGTCATCACTCTTCTCAGTCTGGGGTTGGTGCGAAGTATTTCGCTTGGGGCTATGGCTGTCCTTATCCAGGTGAGTTCTTAGCAAATCAATCGAGTTATGGGAGTCGGCTAACACAAGATACTACAGGTCCTGCTTGCGGTTCCCTTTCTCCAGACTAATAGTACAGGTTACCTCTCTCGGGCATTTGAGCTGTCCCGCCAATTCTTGTTCAAGTGGACAGTGAACTGGCGGTTTGTAGGGGAAGAAACGTTTCTGTCAAGAGAGTTCTCTGTGGGTCTGCTAGTGCTGCATATATCCTTGTTGGCTATCTTCTTCAGAAACTGGGTAAAACCTTCTGGGTCGAACATAGTTTGCTTCCTCCAGGATACTCTCCAGGGACGTCAAAAGACAGTTCCGCTCTCAAAATCCTTTACCATGACCGTGATGCTGAGCTCACTCGCCATCGGCTTGCTATGCGCCAGGTCCTTGCATTACCAGTTTTTCGCGTATCTCGCGTGGGCTACCCCCTTTCTCCTCTGGCGCGCAGGTATCCACCCAGTTCTTATATACGCCATATGGGCGCTGCAAGAGTGGGCTTGGAACGTTTTCCCCAGCACAAACGCAAGCTCGGCGGTTGTGGTGTTGTCGCTCGTGGTCCAGGTTTTTGGCGTGTTGTTCAATGGCTCGAGCGAGGTAGATAAGAACAGTGACAAGGGGAGCAGTGGTAGCAAGGCGATTGTCCAAAAATGAGAGATACCCCGGCCTCAATTCATAAGGTGTGCATATTTCGAGAATCATCATAGCCCAAAACCCCTGTGTACCGTAGCGGCTGCCATTGAACAAACGCTTGGTGCCTTTAAAAGGTGATCATTCAGTCTGACTCGTCCGAAGAAGGCATTTGGCCCACACGCGACTCTTCCTCGTCGTCAGAGTCGGACGCCATTACAACCTGCTGTTTCACGAATTCCTTAGGCCTGTGGGAAATCAATGCCAATTAGCAAATGAGTATGTGGCTAATCTTAATTAAGAAGACATACCAAAAGGGAGCCTTTCTCCACGCCTTCTCGTCTCTGACAATATTGACAATTTCCCCTCCAATTTTATTGTCACGCTCCTCCTGGCCCTTGGTGTCGACCACGACGTACGAGCTGCGCTTGATCCAGATGGCCGAGCGGAACCGTGCGGGCAATTCGACCAGCATCTGCTTCTTGTCTGCTTGTTCGATCAAGTAGATGTTGTTTCCGGTCGCTTTGATTGCTTTAACGATCTGTTGAGTGTCGGATAGCTCGCTTGGAGGGGTCAAGGTTCCCTCTGCTGTAGCCAGCATCTTTCGGCGAGGTGGTCCCATTGTTGAAGATGCACGGTATTTAAAATGATGGATGTTATAAATGCAGGGACAGATCAAGTGTAGGAGAATGTTGGAGGGAAGGATTCTCCGGAAAATAATTTGATCTTATCGGCAGGGCGGGTTTCCCCTGCCCGCATTTACTCTAGGCCCTTGTAATCCAGTTAGCATTTCGATGAAGAGGCTTACTTATTCAGTATTCCTAGAATCTACGGTCATGTATGATCAGATACTTACTAAATACAGCAATATCCTTTACGAGGCTCACTTGATCTGCAAGCTTCTCGGTTCGGCCTACCCAGTCGTGGGTCCCCAAGATGAACTAAAGGCCAGACGCCCTCAGACTACGAATTGAAAGACTTTGAACTGGTTAAGAACTCAGTTTGAGTCTATATATCTCGCGAAATTTGGCAATGTCATGAATGACTGGGCTCACCCGTAGACGTTTCCTTGATTCCTATCAAACAGCACTAATAATGAGTTTAAACACCGCTCTTCGGAGAACTCGTGGCCGTTTATCATTTCAACAATCTGCATCTCTGAATCATACAACAATAACCATGCCTAGGGGTCCCGGTTCAAACAATGGGCGCGTCTCCAAGACCTCTGCCCCTACCCGGTCGTTGAATGAGCCAAATATCGCCGCGTTGAAACGAGAGATCACCGCAGCTAATGATCAAGTGCAACAGCAACTGAACAGCCCTCCAGCTCGTCCGGCTCGTGTAGCTCCCAAACCGCTTGATGATACACAAGAGAAAGTCTTGATTCAGTGGATTCGGCAGGTGAAGGAGTTATTCTCTCTTCCTATGGGACCCCTCATCACGATAAGTACGAATCAAATTCTGAACTGACGGGAACGACACAACTATCAGCAAGGCATGGGTTGAACGCTTCATCAAGGGCCTACTAGATGACCTAAAGCCACCCAAAACACGATCAACCAAGAAAAAAACGTCTCGATGCATCAGATCAAGAGACTTTGAAGCTTTGGTATGAACGGCTGGGGGCTGTGATTGCCGACGTTTGCCCAGAAAATATCTACAATTTCGATGACACCATCTTCCAATCGGCGAGGGAATGAGACCTCGAATGGTCATTACTAGGAGGGTCTACGTCCCTTACCTAAATAGAACCTACTGTGAATGGATAACCACGATCGAATGTATTGCCGCCGATGGGTGGGTAGTCGACCCATTGACTGTTGTTCAAGGTGACTCCGATTTTGAGCACTGGTTTAGCTGCGAAGGAACTCGCGGTGGAGCTCTATTCATGATGAATTCAAGCGGTTGGGTTGGCGAACAGGCTGCATGCGAGTGAATCGAGTCTTTCCATCACCAGACCAAGGGTCGCGCTCCAGATGGTCAGCCTCGGCTCCTACTCTTCAGGGGCCAACCTCGATATTTGAGTTTCAAGTTCCTCGACTTTTGCGAGCAACACACGATTATTCCCTTCATCTTTCTGTCCAATATAGGACACCTCATGCAGCCTTTTGACGGCAAACCATTTCAAGGTTACAAGCAGTATTGGAAAAGTCAAGGGGTTTCCCCCGGAATTGACGATGTCGACGAAGAGAAAACATACTTCTTCCAGGGCTTCTCTACTGTCCGCGAGACGTCATTCAACCCCGATGTTATCACGAACGCATGTGCCGACAGAGGCATTGTGCCAATTGATCAGTCCAAGGTCGGCCAACCACTTTGAGAGCACACGTCCCCTATGACGATAGGTGCGCTGTATGATGGATGGGCTAGATTTCCCCCAAGTAGTTTCCAATGTGTTTCTTATCCTGTCAGTATATCTTTTCAACTTTACGGTGCAAAATTTGCTCGAATTTAGTCATACACTTGAGGAAATTCAAATACTACGCAATATTGGTCAAAAGTGACACAAGCCTAGGATTGCGATGGTGCAGGACGCCATGCATACTCTTATTACTACGATTGGTTGAGATAGCATCCATGGATGCTTATATGCGGATGTTATCAGCAAAGGATAAGACATATGATCTATTTGTTGCATTGCATGGGAGTCCCTTTAGGGTTCAGCTCTCGACACCCAGTCCAGCCTTGTATGACCCTCGCATTCTAAGGTATTATATACATGTATCCTTAGTCTGGTACCTTCAATTCAGACAAATGTCACTTAAATGAGATTCTAAAATGGCGGCTAGAGCGCAAAATGAACAACCTCGCTCCTGCTTCATGCATATTGAATATCAAAGGTTATCCCAGGTTATACATAGAAAAGTCTCTTGCACAAAGTATGCTTTTGTTTCCCCCCTTTTTCCGCCCTCTACCTACCTATAGAACTGAGAAGGGGAACGAAATATCTAACACCACTGAGAAGGCTACTAAAGACATCATAAGGCCTGATAAGCGGCCGTCTATTCTTGTACTCTTAACCGGATATATCAAGCGAGGGAGTTCGTTCTTGGTCTTGTCGGGCTAACAATTGTACGATCTAATGCCCTATAAATCGGGCTCTGCATGATAATGGTAAATGTAGGATCAATACCCTTTGTATTCAATCATACAGAACCTTAGCCCTACAGTGCATTTGCTGCGTCTTCATCTATTGGTTGTGAAACCAGTGACATCACCGGTTTCAGGCGAAAAGACAGAGAGATGACCAAGTCATCAGATACGAAGACCTCTGGGATGTACCGAAAGCGACTGGGGTCCCTATTATCCCTCAATGTATGCAGTAAGATGTGCCCAATGGGAAAGTCTGGACAAAGCGGTGATTCCGATGCAATAATATACAAAGTGAAGTGCCAGGTGTGTTGAAACCGTTCCGGCTATTGTCGATCAAAAGGGATCGGAAGTATGAGGCGTGTCTGTACGATGTTAGTATAGGAGTCATTTAACGGACATATAAGGGTTGGATATAGATATATAGAAGAATCTAAAAATATTCACATGTAAATAGTGGACTGTTACCGTTAACTGTTAAAACGTTCGCCCCTTCCTTATCGGAGGTGCGTGGTAGTACGGACCTCTCAGTAACCACCCGCCTGGACTTCTTTCCGGGATCTAATTCATCTGGTAAATTTCGAGGATTCTCTCCGTTTTTACCTCTCCAAATTTGATCCTTTCTTCTTTTTCCCCCAGATTTTTATCAATTCAATTTCGGCTGTAAGTCGACTGGACGATCATCGCGGGCAGTCTGTCTCACATTTTCCGAAGTGGCATTACCCGCGCCCGTTGCGCCCCTTGTCAACAACAGCCCCGCGAATCCTCTCCCACCAACAACCCACCTTGACCTGGCGCAAGCGCACCCTTGAAATTTGAGCCAGCCTTGCTCTTTGCTCTCGTCAGACCTGCCATCATGGATGGGGACGAGTTGATCGCCTCGGTCTTCCGCAAGATCGAGCGGGAGAAGGCCCTCATCACCGCTGCCAGTAACATGCGGCAGTCGACCGACAATCCCCTCGTGCAACAGAGAGTCGACGCCAACATTCGCGATGGCCGCAAGAATATCGCTTACCTGGAGGAGAAAATGAGAGAATTGCAAATCCGTCAGATGAACCAGGAAGGCGGCTCACCTGGTCAGCGCGGAGGCCCGGCTCCCCCGCCCAAAGACCCCGGATACGCTGGCGAGCACGGTGATGGTCACTACCCTCAAGGTGGCTCTGGCTCGATGCCATCCGGTGCCCCATACTCCGATCCCCGACCTCATGCTCCGATCCCGAAGGCGAGGCCCAACTACACGAAGCTAGGTACGTTTTTGTATACTGCTCCTGCCAAATCCCTCAAAAATGCTGCGCTGAGCTTAAATCGCTTGGAATGCTAATATGAATGATTATGTCTCAGATCTGATCAAGTATGACACTCCATATCTCGGACCGAAGATTCAACTCATGCTGTCTCAATTGGAGTTCAAGCTGAGCGTGGAAATGCAGTATAAAGCCGGTATCGAAAAGATGGTCCGCCTGTACCAGGATGAGGGCGACCGAAAGAGTCGAGCTGATGCCGAGGGCCGTCGCATTGAGAGTAACCAAAAGATTCAGCTTTTAAAGCAGGCTCTCAAGCGATATGAGGATCTTCATGTTGATATTGAATCCTCCGATGCGCCAGACGGTATGAACAATATAGCAATTTTTCTGCGACCATAATGATACATGGTTACTAACTAGTGTTCAGATGAGAGTCTTAGTAGCCCGAATATGCGCAAGCCGCTGACAGGTCTGCTGACAATGCGCATCCATGCGGTCAAGGACGTGGACCATGCGGCGGGCTCGCGATTTTCGCGAGGACCAGAGACATACATTGTCGTCAAGGTTGAAGACACGATCAAAGCGAGAACCAAGGCCACCCGAAACGATAAATGGCTGGACGAAGGCTTCTCCATGGATATCGATAAGGCAAACGAGATCGAATTAACTGTTTATGACAAGTCGGGAGATCGCCCAGTCCCAATCGGTATGCTGTGGGTGCGCATCTCTGACATCGCGGAGGAGATGCGTCGCAAGAAAATCGAGACGGAGCTTAATGCATCTGGCTGGGTATCCGCAGATAAGATGGGCGATAGCGGATCCCCTCGACATGACCAAGCTGGTTCTCCCATGGGTTCTTCGCATGGCCCTAGCTCCGGAGGACGCCCGGGCACCTCGGGGCATGGTGGACATGGACACCACGGTGGAGAGAGCTCAAATGCTCCCCCGACTGTGATGATCGATTCATGGTTTGCTCTGGAACCGGTTGGCCGAGTTCAGCTTCAAATGAGCTTCGGTAAGACTTGCATTAACCCACAAAGAAGCAGCCTCATGTGCTAACTGGATATAGCCAAACAATTGAAGGACCGCCGTCCCTTTGACATTGGTCTTAACCGTCAAGGTGCTGTGCGCCAAAAGAAGGAGGAGGTTCACGAGAAGCAAGGCCACAAGTTCGTCACCCAGCAGTTTTACAACATTATGCGCTGTGCACTGTGTGGAGAATTCCTCAAGTATGCTGCCGGCATGCAATGTGCGGATTGCAAGTACACCTGCCACCGCAAGTGTTACCCCAAGGTTGTCACCAAGTGTATCAGCAAAGCCAACTACGAGACCGATCCGGACGAGGAGAAGATCAACCACCGCATTCCCCACCGATTCGAAGGCTTTTCCAACATCTCGGCGAACTGGTGTTGCCACTGTGGCTATCTGCTTCCCTTTGGGCGCAAAAACGCCAAGCGCTGCTCTGGTAGGCATATTACTGACATACTAGCTTCTTTTCTAGTCCATACTGACCTCCTTTATAGAATGTAGTCTTACGTGCCATGCTCAATGCACTCACCTTGTGCCCGATTTCTGTGGAATGACGATGGAAGCCGCCAACCAAATTCTAGAGACATTGATTCGCACCAAGCATCACAACAAGTCTGCCTCTGTTAGTTCTGGCCTCAGCAACCGTACCCTTCGAGCAGGCGGTCCGCCCCAGCCCGCTCAAGACAACGCTGCCCTCTCCTACCCCCAGAAGCCGATGGAAGGACCCTACGGGGCTATTCCTAGACAACCCTCCGCAGAAGCGGTAAACGCTGCCACTAACTCATTCATGACTCCACAGTCACCAACAGCTACACAGGCTGCGCAGCGCCTACAGATGCCACCGAAATCGCCCACTGGACCTGCCGCCGCCGCCGCCGCCGCAGCCGCCGCGGCTACCGGGCTACGTAGCCCCCAGCAAGCCCCAAGTATGCGATATCTGATCATGCATTGAAGAGAGAATATCAGTACTAATCAAATCTTAGCTGAAATGGGCCGTCCTATGCCGCCACCCCAGGCACCTCCGCAGCCTCAACACGCCCATTATGACCCATCCGCTTATGCAAATTTCCCGCATCAGCCTCCTCCCCAGGCTATGCAGAAGGTGCAGCCTGCGGCTTACCCAATGGCCCCGCCTCCGCAGCCCATACATCAGCAGATGCCCCCGCAACAGCAAGTTGCCCCCCTGCCAAGGACGACGGTACAGCCCAGGCAAAGGCTCGCATTGGATTGGATCACTTCAATTTCCTTGCTGTTCTCGGAAAAGGTAATTTCGGAAAGGTCATGTTGGCTGAAACAAAGAGCTCCCGCAAGTTGTATGCCATCAAGGTACTGAAGAAGGAATTCATTATCGAGAACGATGAAGTGGAGAGCACCAAGTCCGAGAAGCGTGTTTTCCTGATCGCAAACAAGGAACGTCACCCCTTCCTTCTCAACTTGCACGCTTGTTTCCAAACCGAAACTCGTGTTTATTTCGTCATGGAGTATATCAGTGGTGGTGATCTCATGTTGCACATTCAGCGTGGCCAATTCGGCCTCAAGAGAGCACAGTAAGTCCTGTTGTTTAGTCTTTGCCCTGTTTTTGAAGGTTGGAAAGGCTCACGTGTTTTTAGATTCTATGCCGCCGAGGTCTGCTTGGCACTCAAGTACTTCCACGAGAACGGTGTCATCTACCGTGACTTGAAGCTCGATAACATTTTGCTGACCCTGGATGGTCACATCAAAATTGCTGATTATGGTCTTTGCAAGGAGAACATGTGGTATGGTGGTACAACTAGCACGTTCTGTGGTACTCCTGAATTCATGGGCCCAGAAGTAAGTGGGATCAAGTTTGATTGTGTCTTTTTGAAGTACCGATGAGCTGACTCTTGTTATAGATTTTGCTGGACAAGAAGTATGGACGGGCTGTGGATTGGTGGGCGTTCGGTGTTCTCATCTACCAGATGCTTTTGCAGCAGTCTCCGTTCCGTGGTGAAGATGAGGATGAAATCTACGATGCCATTCTTGCCGATGAGCCTCTCTACCCCATTCACATGCCTCGCGACTCCGTTTCGATTCTCCAGAAGCTGTTGACTCGTGAGCCCGAGTTGCGCCTGGGCTCCGGTCCCACCGATGCCCAAGAAGTTATGTCTCATGCCTTCTTCCGCAACATCAACTGGGATGACATCTACCACAAGCGGGTCCCCCCGCCATTTATCCCCACAATCAGCAGTCCTACCGATACAAGCAACTTCGACCAGGAGTTCACCAGTGTGACACCAGTCCTGACGCCTGTACAATCTGGTAAGATCTTTTTTGGCTTTTCGTATGCTGGAAGATGAATTGTAACTAATCGACTTGTTAATTTAGTGCTTTCGCAAGCCATGCAGGAAGAATTCCGTGGATTCTCCTATACTGCTGACTTTGCTTGATCCCACCGATGTGTGATCGGGATAATTATTGCTTGCTTGGACACCTGTCACGAGTTGTTGACGAGGGTGTCAATTCGGTCTACGGGGGGTTTAATGCCGACATGTCCGGTTTCTTTAGCGCGCCGCGGGTCTCCCGCCAGCACCTCATGTTCTTCAAATTGCTTCAACATACCCAATCGCAGTTTCGTTTTAAGTGCCGGTGTGGACCGGATCTCACTGACATGCTTTTGACCGCCGGATACCATGGTCAATGAAACCTCCAGTTTGCTTTTGCTCGATTGCTTTGTGTGCTTATCTAAATTGCTTGCTCTATTTTTCCCCTTCCAAGTTCTTTTTTTCTAAGTTTTCCTTCCGACTGGTCGGGTTTATGACTTCATTCTATGTCGGGCATTTGATGTTCAAAAAATGAGAGGGGATGGGTTCCCATATGGGAATTGCGTGATGTGGTTTTCAAGAGAGTTTGATGAGAAATGACGAAGTTTGAAGATCTATGAAGATACCGTAGATCCCTGCAGGGATTCGTGCGCATTATGTCTGGTATTATGTTCTAGCTATTCGTGGTAGGGAGAGAAAGAGATACAAATACGAACTAAGCTATCCCACCTGTCTAATTTGTCTAATTTGTCTAATTTGTAGTTTGTATAGATGTGATGTCAAATTCCGGGATGGGACTCTCAAGTCGAGCACCTACAGGTTTCTTTCTACCTTTGTCCTCTCTTCTTCCAGATGTCTTTTCCAATTTACCACATCTTTTTGACTCCTCTTTTCTTTGTTCCAGAAATAGATCAAGCTACCGAGGTCTATTTCAAAGATGCTGCCAAAAAACAAACACCTATTTCGTCGACGCTTTCGAGCCTCAAGTAAATCCGCCGAGGCCGTGCCTTTGAGCAACAAAGAGAACCTGCTCTCGGGAAACAAAGAACACACCCTCAGCCCACTCCAAAGGTGAGCCAACCGTCGTCGCGCTCCCATCCCATCAAGAGACGGTTCAAGAACGTGTCTCACCCTGTTGATGGGAGACCCATCAACAGGGGTGCTACCAAAAGTCGATAATATCAAATATCATATCAACTTCTCTGAAAGTTCAGAAACGGGATCCCCTCCAGCCTGGTTTAACGAGACTTGGGACAACGACCCTAAAATTCGACACTTGCTGTGTAAAGACTAGGTTCCTCGCCGCCTGGGACTTTTCGCAACTTACTGCATCCCTCGCCACGAACCAAAGACTATCATCAATTCACGCCCTTCTCCTTCTCCTGCTACCCTGGTCCTGTCACGACCGGCGGTTGTAGCTTCAACCCTCGACCATTCCAAGGAGCCGGCAAGCTCCTCAGCGCTGTACACCGTTCCTGACACGATTGCTCATTTTAACGAACAGGGTCAGATGGTAAGTCTTGTGTTTATCATAGCTTATTATATCACTTTGACCTTAGTTATCTCTCTCTCCAGTCCCTACTCACTTGCGTCTTACTGACTTCTATACTAGGCGGCCTCGGCCCAAAAACGAGTCTTCCTCGCCGATGAAACAGAGCATCATCACCCGGATAAGCGAGTTGAATTTGAGCCGGAGAACTCTGCAACTCATGGCGAGCAGCCCGAAGACACCGACGTCAGTGAGGACGAAAATTGGGAAACGGACCCGCCGTCTTCCCCTGAATACAAGATTTATAGTGCGAGTGATGATAGCGATAACAGCGATTCTTCTTCCTCGCTATGCGTACAGCGATCGAAGAGGGCTCCCTTGAATCCCTCAGCCAAGAACGGCCGCCTGGTAAAGCCAAAAGCCAAAAAGGCCAGGAAGAAGAGGGGATCTGATTCGGATAAGTCAATGTCTGAGCCAAGTGACCTCGACTATGAGAGCGAGGAAGAGTACTTTGTCCTGAGAGGAGAGCGCGAGGATATACTCAAGAATAGGCTGACCCGAGAAAGGGCTAAGCGTCTACTTGATGCTGTAGAGCTCCCTCAAGGCCATGACCTGTCACCAGACGAACAGCGGACTGCCCACCAACTTCTTACTCGTGGCTGCATGCCGACCATTCACAGACACTGGGAGAAAGATTTCTCTACCCTTCCAGAGTCGCTGTTCTTTTCTGGGGTAGATTACAAAATCAAACTTAACGAATTTAACTTCGTCCTTGGAAACGATCAGTGTTCCGAATTTTACGCGATTCGTGCCTTTCAAGAGCTTCTAAAGATATGTGGCAATGTGAGGGACTACTGCAATATCCTTGATATCAGTCCTGAGATCTATATCAAGAAATCAATAGAGAAATACTTGCGTTGGGCATTGAGCGATGCCGGTGTCAGAGTCAAGCCGGACACAACCCCTGTGCACGTCATCTATTGCAAACGTGACGACGAAATGTCAAAAGAAGCCTTTGACAAAGTTGCTACAATATTGAATAAGCTATCCGATACCTGGCAGAGTCAACTCGCTGCACCCCATAATGGCGAACAAGCCTGGCCGGCATTGATCGCCCTCGTCATCTGTGGACCTGTTCTTTCTGTCATCTCTCTGGACACCAATCCCCATCCCCAAACCCTAACACATGGACTCAAGTTCCTTGGTCATTTCGATCTTGCAGATCTTGATAATGATGTCTGGAATACCCTAGCTGTCGCGATCCTCATCATGCACATCAAAAGGACCGTGGCCAAGCTCGCAAAGGCCTACGGTGACAAGTTTGTGACCTCGACCTTTGACCTTGCCGTAGATTCCCTGGATCCCGATCGTTAATGTCCGTCGCACGGTGTCACAGATCTGTTAGTACTGTAAAGCTTCTATACATATCACACAAAGAGATCAAGGGCGCTACGTATCAAATAAACCAGGAAAAAGCAATATTTTCTCACGGGCATTTCTCGAACAAGTTTGGAATCTTCAATTGGCAATTTAGCATGTGAACTTTGAGCCATGTATAAGTAGTTTGCTGAATGACATGTTATAAATGTACTTGATGTACAAAGTAGATGATAGGCCCATGCTACGGGGTAATATAGTGGAATTGTCGCGACCAATGCAAGGATTGATGTGCTTGCAGATCTCCGCTTTTGCTACTGAATGCTTGTTTTCCCCTTCTGTTTTTAAATGATCCTTTGAACGACCTCTGTATTTCCATGAACTCGATTTGAAGAATATAGTGTGCTGTTGGGAATTCGGAAAGCTCCCAGCGCCCTGGAAAAAAAAATCTTTCACGATGATTTCGGAAGATCATGCCACAGAATCCTCACCTTTGCTGCGCGACATCGACCCAGAAGCAGTAAATAGTTCCAAGAAGTCAGGATGGCGACAAGAATTAGCAATTATCTCGCGATACTCGGCCCCCCTCATGATATCGCTCCTACTTCAACATGCATTGACCGGTTCTAGCATTCTCATGGTGGGCCACCTGGGGAAAAGAGAAATTGGCGCTGTGAGCTTGGCCAACATGACTGCCCAGATCACTGGATATTTTGTCTTCCAAGGGCTAGCAACATGCTTGGATACTTTATGTCCTCAAGCATATGGCTCAGGGAATTTGACCATGGTCGGACTTCACGTTCAACGACTGACGCTTTTCATGCTCGTCCTCACGATCCCAATTGGTGCTATATGGTGGAATGCGGATCAAATCTTTCTTCTCATTCTACCGTCTGAGTCTTACGAGACGGCTCTTCTCGCGGGTCTGTATCTGAAAATTGCCATCGCCGGCGCTCCAGGTTATGCGTGTTTTGAGTCTGGAAAACGATTTTTCCAGGCACAGGGATTGTTCAGTGCCAGTCTGGTGGTTCTATTGATATGTTCTACATTGAATATTTTCATAGGATGGCTATTTGTTTGGGTATGTTATTCAACCGTACAACTCCGAGCTATTCACTAATATACCATTTTTTCCCAGAGACTGCAATGGGGCTTCATCGGTGCGCCTATCGCCGTTGCGATCGCAAACAGTCTTCTGCCCGTATTTCTGGCACTCTATGTCATCTTCATCAGGGGCTCTGAATGCTGGCACCCTGTTTCTGTGGAGATGTGGCGTGGCTGGGGTCCAATGTTGCAGCTTGCCATTCCAAGTTGGTTAATGATCGAAGCCGAGGTCCTCGCATGGGAAATCATGACGCTCGTTTCGTCCCATCTAGGCGCGACCGAGCTTGCGGCCCAAGCTGCTATATCGACACTTTCAGACTTTGCATTCCAAATTTCGTTTTCAATCGCTGTTGCTGGTGGCACACACATTGCCTATCTAATCGGAGCAGGCTTCCTCCAGCGTGCGGCAACATCAGCCAAGGTGATGGTTCTTGCTTCATTCGGTGCTGGTATCACAAATATGCTTGTGATTATTGCGCTCCGGGGAGTCATCCCGGGCCTATTTAGTGATATCGGCGAGGTCTGGCACTTGATCTTCTTCTTGCTTCCATTGGGTGCCGTCGTCCAAATTCCTGATGCTGTGGCCACTTCCTTGAATAGCTTGCTGCGAGCTGTAGGGCGACCGGATCTAGGTAGCTATGTTCAGCTCTCGATCTACTACCTCGTGGGACTGCCCTTGGGCATTGCTTTCGCGTTTGTCTTGGACTGGAGCATTTTCGGACTATGGTGTGGAATTCTTATCGGGCAGTCGATCATTGTGTCGATCGAGGGCTTTTATTTCTGGAAAATGGTGGACTGGGCGAAGGCATCCCGAGAAGCGGTAGAGAGGATGTGATCATGGAGAGAGCTTCTAAAGGTTGAGCCATCGACGGGTGGGATAGCTTCAAAAGCCATAAAATATATTGTACCATGCACGACGAATACAAAATACATCTTTCTTCCTCGTCTACTTGTACACCTGCAGACGAACTCGCATGGTGAACTAAATCGTAAACTTTTCTTTTATATACTTAGGCGTCACATGACCGGTCCCGCTGTTGACGCTATTCCCAACACTGCAATCTTCAAGATGCACTGCATCACCCAGCATTCCACCATGGACGCCGCCGAGGATCGAGACGTGAAGCTTCAACGGGCCTCTGGGGATTTGGTGTCCGAGTTTTCGGCAAAGCTACCCTCGCTATTGTGGAGAGCCCAAACTGGGACTCCCATCCGCACCCCACGTAAATGGGCGCAGGTCACCAAAACAGAGAAGCTTGTCAGCCTTGTAAGACTGCACCGCATACATAATTATCTTCCCATCTATTGATCATATATACAGCTTGAACCCTTTCAAGAGTGGCCTCAGCTCTTAGATCCACATTTGCAGACGTTGCTGCCTCCATTAGTGGACGCTTTTCTAGCATATCTGGTCAAGCACCGCACCCAATATGGCTCTGTTTCGGTGAAGTCATCCCAGACAAGAAATCAATATCCCCTACCAAGAGCCATCTGCAGGTTACTTTACACTTTCTGCAAAGTCCGTGGCGTCAAAGTGATTAGTAGGTTCTTAAACAATGAGCCGAAATATCTTGATTCAATGCTTCGGGCCTTCATCGAATGGGATGCGGTCCGGCCAACCAATTCTGAAGAACTGGTTGAATCTGAACCCCAGCGGCTCATCTGGGAAGAACGCTATGTGATGCTGGTTTGGCTCTCACATCTTCTGCTTGCTCCTTTTGACCTGTCGTCTTTATCTGATGATACCATTCCGGTGCCCTACGACAATCTGCAACAGTTGACTTGGTTATCATCTGAGACTCCTATGGTCGCCAGGTCGGTTCTTTCTTTGTCGTTGCACTATATCGGTGCGCCGGGTAAAGAACGCGAGGCAGCGACAGCACTTTTAGCACGATTGGCTTTGCGTGGAGACATGCAAGCGCTCGGTATACTAACTGGCCTGACAAAGTGGGCATTTGCTATAATTCAACCAACCGAGAACGTCGAATCGCCCTCTGTCTACGTCTGTATTGGTATCCTCACATTCATTGCTCGCTTGAGCGCATCGGGCCAGGTAGAGGAGTTTGCTCCCTTGATCAGCTATGTCTTCCAGCAGACTCTTAGTGTATCTCAAGGGAAGTCTTCAGTCTCTGCAACAATCCAGTTTTCAGCGTTGGCCAGAAAGATTGTTGTCAAGATCCTTCGCAACATCACTGGCATGGCCTTATCTTTGAATGAGCGAGATGACGGCCGCACCACGGATGATGTGTTGTCGACCATATTGGAAGAAGCAATCGATCATTTCTTGGTCTCCTTGGCCGACAAAGATACACCCGTGCGATTTGCCGCGAGCAAAGCACTCAGCATTATCACATTGAAATTAGACCCAGAAATGGCAACCGAGGTCATAGAAGCGGTCATTCACGCGTTGGGAGAGAATATTCTGTTTGAAAAAGATGATGGCTCCCTCATGACGACAGCGGAAGCGCGGAGGATTGGCCCACACACCCTTAAACGTAATCTCAGTGCAGTCGATGCCCAGCGATGGCAAGGATTAATCTTGTCACTGTCACATTTACTTTTCCGCCGGGCACCTCCCATTCACCAACTACCTGAGATTCTTCAATCACTTGTGGCTGGTTTGGGCTTCGAGCAAAGGTCTTCTACTGGCAGCTCTGTGGGAACTGGTGTACGAGATGCAGCATGCTTCGGTATTTGGGCCATGTCTCGAAAGTATACAACACGAGAACTCATGGCGCTGCAAGCCCAAATAGTATCATCGAAATCTGGCCAGGAAGAGGTCGATGTTCTGCAAAAGCTGGCTGTGGAACTCATTTGTGCTGCCTGTATTGATCCATCTGGAAACATCCGACGCGGGTCATCTGCTGCGCTACAAGAGTTGATTGGTCGTCACCCCAATACCATCGCGCAGGGCATCCCCCTTGTGCAGATTGTGGATTATCATGCCGTTGCACGACGCTCTCGTGCGCTAATTGATGTCACCAAAGCAACAGCCTCTCTAGATCAGATTTACTGGACTCCACTTCTGGATGCTTTGTTGGGTTGGAGAGGTATTGGTTCTCCAGATGCCGAGTCTAGAAGATATGCGGCTAAGTCTATTGGAACTTTGAGTATGCAGGGGCAATTCAAAACCATGAATCTGGTCCTGGATAAATTGCTGCAAATGTTTTCCAGCATCTCTCGCAATGACGTGGAATCACGACATGGCTGTCTGTTGTCTATTGCTGCGACAGTCGATGCTTTTACTTCCCAATGGGAAGCATCAGCTGAGAAGAGAGATATCCCGGAAGCCAGGGCTGTTTCCTCTCAAGTAGCCAACATCTGGGATATTTTTGGTTCTGCATCAAGCCCTACCGATGATGACTTGACCTTCCAGACTTCGCGCCCTGAGTTGACAGCAGAGGCATCATCTTGCTTGATCTCCTCCCTCTCTCAGTCTACTACCACGATTGGCCTGGCTCAGCCTTTACAACCACTTCTGAATCGAGCACTCCAAATCCTCTCCCTCTGTGTCTCTCGAAGTGATGATGTCTCGATTGAAACATCTTCAACCGCCTTGGCGCAGATGTTCCCTCTCCTATCACCATCAAAACAGGAGGAAACTGTGCGTACTTGGTTCACTCATCTCCGTACTTCATGGCGATTGCCGACAGGTCGCGGTCAAATTCTAGCACTCGGAACAGTGTTCAAGCAACTCGGAGCACAAAGTGATGTCCAAGAAGACATCGTCACCGAGATCCTTCATTACACTGGGAAGGAAGAGCTCATCGAGAAACGAGTTGCTGCTGTGAAGTGCTTGGCAACCAGTATCTTGCCATATATGGGTATGTAATATCCCTTGTTTACTGGCTGGTACGGAGATGGGCTAACAAAACCTTAGCTTCCACCGATGC